TTCATTTTTTTTTTGCTAAAATCATTTTGAAAATAAAAAAAACTTTCTCTTTTCAACAGCTAAAATTAACCAAAAAAAAAAAAAAAAATTAATAATTTAGTCGGCTATATAGACACCACAAATACACACAAACATATTTAACATATGCCTGCCCATTATCATCATCATCAATTTGAAGCCAATCCGGATTGATGCATTGAAAAAAAGGTGGAGCCAAAAGTTACGTCATCAACAGTATTATTCAACAACAACTATAATCCATGATGTTTGAATCTGGAATTGATAAATCGTCCATTTTGATTGGTTGAATGTTTGTAGCCAATCACATTTCAGTGCAAAAATGTTATGCAATACAAATGTGTTAGATAAAGTAACTATAAAACATCAGTTTGGCTACACTGGGTTATTTATTACGTTACGCGTTACGAATGAGGGCTATTTAGAACCGAAAAACTAGAGCAATAAAAATTTTTATTGCTCTAGTTTTTTCGGTTCATTCAAATATAGTTTTTTTTCTGACTATAATTGCTGTTTGTGAACTAAAATAACTATAATGGATAATAGTGTTTATTTGAGATTTTTTTTGTAATTTTTTTTGTCAGTTCTCACAATCATCATCATCATCACTTTGGGAGGAGTAATAATTACTATCGGGGTTATTTATTTTGATGATGAACAAAAATTATAGGCAAAACATTGGTTTGTTTGTTACCCAATGATTACTCAAAAAGTTTTTTTCCTTTGGTCAATCATGCAGGTATTTTTTTCAGGATGTTTTCCCTGTATTTTTTCTGGAAACAATGCAATGTTTGAGCGAAAGAAAAAATTATCACTTTGAACGGATTTCTTTTCCTTGACCAAAAGCAAAATTCATCATTCAAACTTTGGATCGATAATTATATGTTTTTTTTTTGGAATTTGATGTAACTCTTTAGAGATTTTCTTTCTTTTTGAAGTGAAAACAAATCTTATTAGCTAAAATATCTTTAGCTAAATGTTGTTGTCCAACCAAACTTGATAAGGACATTGGCCCCAGAGAGAGAGAGAAAGATAATTTTCCTTCGATAAATAATAATAATATGTCCATATTTTTTTCAATATTTTTTCTGCTGTTGACCACATGGTTCCATAATTTTATTCAGTTGTCCTTGAAAACACAGTGGTCAAAGCACATAGTGGTCAAATCTTTGCATAATAAAATATATATTTTTCTTATAATTCAGTTACTGGTATTATTACGCGACCACGACATACGCACCACGATTTTTGATATCCCAAAAAAATCTTGTAAAGAGATTACTTAAAAGTTATGATTTTTTTTTGTTCACTTGTCATATTTTTTTCGCTGATAACAAACAAAAATCTCCCATCAAACTAACCATTGGTTAAGTTCAAGAACCTGAACATTTTCGTTTTTTTAGCTATCCGATAATGAAATTGAAAAAATATTCTGCAGATATTCTTTCAAGCACCAAAAAAAAAAAACATTTTTGTCCAGAAAAGAATCGAAATAAAGAAAAGTACATTAGGTCAACGACATTTATTGTGGTACGTTGTGATTATGATTTCTGTTTTGTTTTGTTTTCCATATTTGACCAATGATCATCATTGATGATAATCGTTACTGTGTTTGTGTGAGAAAATCCTTTGGGCTTTATTTGGCCGTTGACGACAGCGAGAAAATTTTTTTTTTCTGTCTGTTGATAATTAGTGACACAATCTTGTTGTCAATGTGCGCATATTGATTATATTGGAAAAAAATGAAAAAAAAATTTTCCCCCCAAAAAGGTCATTGAATTTTACAAAGTTTTGTTTGGACTTTTGATTTTTGGTCGGTTGTCGCCGTATCCGTTTTAGTTTAGTTTAGTTTAGTTGTGATTTTGATTAGATATGATTTTTCGTTAGTTTATCATCAAAACGAGTGGTCATCGTTTGAATCGGTCAACAGCATCCAAATGATTGTGTTTTTTTTATCCAACTTTTGTAATTACAAACATTTTTTTACAAATGGGTAATTTATAAAAAAACGAAGATTAAGCACACCATTTAAAAAATTACAAAAGGTAAAGTTAATTAATTTTCTTTGTTATCAGAATGATGATCTATATTTTCTTGTTTTCGTATCGATGAAAACCTATAATTATAATTCAGGAATTTCAATTGAATCAACAAAAGAATTTTCAAACTTTTTCAAGTTTTTCATTATTGAGCCAAACCTTTTGAATACTTAAATAATGAAATTTTCTGCATTTTTGATGGATCACTTTCCATTTTGTTCAAGCAGAAAAAAAGATATGATCTGATTTTGTTTTGTTTTGTTTCGGTGCCATGTCTATGTAATGGCCAGAGAGAGAAACAATGGACGAAAAAAAATGTCGATAATCGATTGTGTACCACCGATTGTAATCGATCGTTCGATCGATCGATCGATGATGAATAAATGAAAGTTAATTAATCACTGATTGGTTCCAAACTGCATGATTTGAAATTGATTTTCTTTTCTTTTCTTTTTGGTTTACAAAAATGAAAAAATCAAATTATTTTTGGAGAGAAAAAAAAATTGCTGTCATGTTTATCATTTGTTTGGCTGTTTGGTTCAGTTGTGTGTTATCCAGTCTTGTTGTCGTCGACCAAAAGTTTCTTTGGATTGTTTCTTTGGTTTGCCGACAACGACTACGACGATGACTTGAGTATTGTTGTCTTTCTCTCTCTCACATATCAATCGAATGAATACAAAAAACAAAACAACAACAACTGTACAAAAACCATAAGCACGCGAGCCGCCAAAGTCAAAAATTTTCAATTTTTTGGTTTGTTAATATCGCGAATACAATGTTTTATTTGAAATTGCATTGATGATTTATATCATTGTGGTTGATTCTTCCCCATTTTATCATCGATTATCAAGTGATCGATATTGGTTGAAAATTTGATTCGCTTTTTTACTCTTTCGCCGGACAGTCTGGCTCCCTTGACCACATGATTCTTCTTTTGAAAAAAATTAAAATTTTATTAATTTTTTTGTAATTAAAAGAATAGATTTTTACAAAAATTTGTAACTTTTTTTTCCTGAAAGATTTTTCCAAAAAATTCTTTTCGAATGTTTTTTTTCACTATTATTCATGCATACAGCTATATAAATTGACCAACCTAGAACCAAATCAACCAATCAAGTTGATCGTCAGCCAGAAAAAATGGGCGGTGCATAGATATGGACCACTACCACCACCACTGCGACTATTTTCACACATCTTGTCTTCTTCTTCTTTTTTCATATAATAACAATTTACTCTTTGATCCCTATTTTATACACACTAACTTAGTTACTAAAAATAGATCGATTTTGGATTGTTGCGCACTCTTTTCATTCATTTCATCAACAACAAGCGCATTTTTTTCCCCTTCTGTGTTTTTTTTCACCCAATTCAGTTTTTGTTTTTCTTCTTCTTCTGGTTCATCATTAATTTTGATGATAAAAAGTGTAGTGGTGGTGGTGGTGGTGGTGGTGTGGTTTATTTTAACGGTATGTGTTTATGTGTGTGTATGTGATCCCTTTATTCATTCTTTCCCCCCCCCTTCACCAGTGTCCAAGTGGCCATACATCATAGTTTGTCGAGGACTATGATCATCATTCAGTTGACCATCATGACCATAGTTCAGGTTAAAGATTCGATATGTAAGAAAAATAAAAACATTATATATGTTCTGTTTGTCTTCATTCGTATATATAATCATAATGCAATTGACCAATGTTCGAATGTCATTCAAATTCTAATCACGATAGGTCATCATTCATTGATTGCGACAAACTTGTTTTTTTTCATCGCTTTGCTTTTATTTATTTATTTATTTGAATAACATTATCATCTAATCAACATCATTGATTATTTACAGAAAAAAGACATATTTCATTCGAATATTTTTTCCATTAAAAAACAAAACAAAAGATGAGTTCTTCAGCTGGAACATCGATCATTACCAATCATCATCATCCGCATTATAATCCATATCATCAACAGCAACAACAAAATGGAACATTTTCATCAACAACATCATCATCACAAAAAACATCAACATCGACTATTTATCATTCACCACAATCATCACCACCAAATGAATCAAGTCCAAAACCAATAATGATGATGATGACAATGTTAGACAATAATAATGATAATGATGTTAATGATGATGATGAAAAACCATTAGATTTTTCATCAAAACAATCATCATTTAATGATGATGAAATACGTAAAATACCTCAGCAGCAGCCAGAACCATTATTATCATCAAAATCAAATAAAAAAGTTCATCCAAAATTTTCGAAACGCCATCATCATCAACAACAGCAGCAACAATCTGAACATCATTGCTTTACAACACCATCACCATCACCACCTGAACATCGAATTAATCAATTACAATCACCATTATCGAAATTAAATTCCGGATTAACAACAACAACAACAGCCATCAACAACAACAACAACAATAATATGTTTCATCCAGATATTCAATCATCGATTCCATCATTAGTCAATCAACAACAGCAACAACAACAACAGGAATCAATTTTTGGAAAACTTTTACAACAAATGACTACTACAATCAATCCAACAACAACAACAACAAAAGATTATTCTCAACAACAACAACAAGTTTTAAATGAAACAATATTACAATTGGCTAAAATAAATTGTCAACAACAACAAAATTCACAAATATCATTACCATCAAATGATTCGGAATCAAATTCAAAAGCTTTACAGCTATTAAATCTATTGACAAAAGTTAATGGTCAGCAGAATGGTCAGCAGAATGGTCATCACCATCATCAAATATTATCACCAATAAAATCGATTCATTCAACAACGAATTTATTATCACCAAAAAATCTTTTCCATTCTCATCAACATCTTAATCATCAACAATCGAAGAATTTGATATCTGATGGACTTGGCCATGGCCTGTTGTTGACCACAGCTCCAACCACAACATTATCATCAGAATCATTAATCCTTGATGATCATCATCATCATGGTCATCGTATTAAAAATGAATCAACCTTATCAACATTAATTGATAATCCATCTACCTCAACACCGTCAACAACAACAACAAAATATACCCGTCCATTCAAAGCATTATATAATAATAAAGATTTACCATTATTATCACAAAAACATTCACCATCATCAACAACAACAACAACAACGGCTGCATCATCATCATCATTTCCATTGGAAAATTCAGCAACTGATTCATTACTTGGTTCAGATCAAGCATATTTAATGTTTCGTTCACAAATGTTATCAATGTCAAAACAAAGACAAACATCTTCTTCTTCATTGGAACAACGAAAATCAACATCGAATCGTAAATCACATAATACATCATCAAATTCATCATCCAAATCCATTGATATTACATCGGATGATAATAGTTCAAATAGTTCATTATGTTTAAATGGTATGATTGATCATGATCAAAGTTCAATAAATCAGGCAATAAATGAAACAACATCATCGAATAGTCATCATAATCATCAACAATCACTTGTCATGCCGATGATCAATGTTCCAAATTCTACCACTATTTCAACAGCAGCATCACCATCACTATCAACATCATCATCATCGGGTAGAAAACGTGCTCGGCCATTACCGGAAAATCTAAAAGATGAAGCATATTGGGAACGTCGTCGCAAGAATAATGAAGCAGCTAAACGTTCAAGAGATTTACGTCGGGCGAAAGAAGATGAAATTGCTATCCGTGCTAGTTTTCTGGAACATGAAAATCGTCAATTAAAATTAAAATTAATTGAAGCAGAATTAAAATTAGAGAAAAAAGATACCATTATTGTTAGTTTACAGAATCAATTATCATCATTGAAATGATTTTGAAATCAACAACAAAACACAAAACAAAACTTTAAATTTTTTTTTCGGTACATTTATTTAATATATATTGCAAATGATGATGATGATACACAAAGATTTATTTTTCGAAAATTATTATTATTCTTTTTGTATATAAAACACGCACATTATATAATGATCCAATTGATCTCGAAATTTTCTATTACAATTTATTTCTCATTTTTTCTCCCATCAAAATACACACACAAAAATCTATCATTTGATAAGAAAATATTTTTGAAATTCAATAAAATTTATTATTTTTTCATTTTTTCATTTTTGAAATTTTGAAATTTTGAAACAAACAAAAAAATCGAATAAATGAAAAATCGAATGCTCCATCTTTTGGATTCGAATGTTAACATTTTTTCACACACACACATTCAATGAATGGTCCCGAATAGAGTATTCTTAACCACTTCTTTTCGTGGTCGAAATGACTCGGCTCAAAAAATCCAAAACAGCAGAATTTTGATTTGATTTTACTTTCATAGATGCCGCCATGCTTCAATTTTTTTTATGTGAATGTGTATTAACCTCATCAAAAAAAAAAAAAAACATTCGAAAAAAACTAGTAGCAGCACAATTTTCTGATACCAATGGATTCAGAATCCAGGATACATCCTACTACTACTACCATTTTTGGATCATTTGGAAAATGTATCCCCTGTTAAAAATATGCCACTACCTGTCTAACTGTGCTATCCGTTGTTAAATGTTTTTCTCTCTCTCTCTCGGTTTTTTAGCTATCATCCAATTCAATCATCAAAAAAAAATGATAAAATTTTTTTTGTAATATTTTCTCAATATCAATAATTCTGTCTTTTTTATTTTGATTATGATGATGTTATTGTTATTTGTATGTGGTAAACAAGATATTATCTAACGAGATTTGTCATTTTTTTTTGTTTGTTTCTGTTTTTCTTGCCGTCAAATGTTTTTCCACCTTTCCACAATTGTGTCATGATTTTTTTTTCTTCTAAAACAAAAACATTCGATTTTTTTATTATTTGTTCCACAAGTTTGTCTGAAGATTAAATCTTCAATGTTTTTTTTTTGTTTTGTTTTCAATTCGAAATATGAATTGCTCATTTTTGTCGTCGTTGTTGTTGTCTTTGGCGTTGGTTTTTTTGTTGTTGAATGATTACGTTATTTGAAGAAAAAACAAAAGTTCAGTCGATTGTTGTTGATAGGTGAAAATTGATGTAATTCTTCAACTTTGCATCGCATACATCTTGTTTATTTATTCAAAATCAAATAGGAAATAATTATCACAGCAAGATACAGAAGAAAAAAAATACCAACTTCATATTTGGACAAACTGTTTATATTGAATTGAATTGAAAACAAAAACAAAAATCATTTTGTTTGCGGATATCGAATGTTGATCAATCAATTAATCAATCAATCAACATAACCATGGTTTTAATTGATTAAAACTTTCCAAAAACAACATTTTATTTCAATTAAACAAAACAAAAATATTATGTCATCTTCAGTCACATAATCAACATAATCATCATCATCACATTAGCAAAATATTTGATGCGATCTAATTTGTTTTTGTTTTGTTTTTTTGTTCGCTGTCTTCAAATTTCATTCATTTTTTTCGCTGGTTTCAAAACATTTTTGTTATTCATTGATAAATTGAAAACTTTGAAAAGAAATTTATTATCATTTTTCTCCACTGATTTCGCAATGAAAGCAATAATCTCTATACGAATTATTTATTAATGTTTGAATTTTTTTATATAAAGTTTATAAAGTGTCGAATTCCATTCAGCCGTGTGGTAAGAATATTCTTTTTATATTTGTTTCAAACCAGAATAACAATAACTTTTTCTTTGTTTTCGTTTAGCATTTATCATCATTACTTCATACTATGTAGAAAAATGTAGAATAAAAAGCAATGCTCAAATAATAATGTCTTAAATCAAATAAATCAAATGATTTTCATTCAGTGCAATTCAAAAGCTGTTTTAATCAAATAAAAACAAAACGAAAAAAATAATGACTAGTTCATTACATCAACGTACGATGGCTAGCCATCAAGCAAGAAAAAAAACCGTATCATATGTAATACGTTCGGAACAAGAACGTTATCATCGTTCCGGTATAAATTCATTACAATATGATCCGCATTTAGGAAGATTATATTCAGCTGGTAGAGATTCAATAATACGTATTTGGAATGTTTATAATCCAAAAACAAAATCATTAATGCAACCCGGTAGCCATATGCAACAACAGCCAATAAAATCATCATTATCAAATGTTTGTGGTAATAATAATAATAATAATAATGGTATGAATTATTCATCATCATCATCATCATCATTATCTCATACTGCTCATCATAATCACCAACATCATCACCAAGATGATTACTATCTATGCTCAATGGAACATCATACCGATTGGGTTAATGATATTGTTTTATGCTGTGATGGACGGAATTTAATTTCCGCTTCTTCAGATACTACTGTTAAAGTTTGGAATGCTCATAAAGGTATTTGTATGTCTACATTACGTACACATCGTGATTATGTTAAAGCATTAGCTTATGCTAAAGATAAAGAATTGGTATGTTTAATTAATTTTTATTGATTTTGGATTTTTTTTCAATGATTGATTTATTTATTTCTATTTTCTCCTCATCGAAAGGTTGCATCGGCCGGTCTAGACAAAGCAATTTATCTTTGGGATGTTAACACTTTAACACAATTAACTACATCAAATAATACAGTGACGACAACATCGTTTACTGGTAATCGTGATTCAATCTATTCATTAGCATTAAATCCAGCTGGTACAATAATTGTTTCTGGTTCAACCGAAAATGTTCTTCGTGTTTGGGATACACGAACATCAAATAAAATAATGAAATTACGTGGTCATACCGATAATGTACGATCATTGGTTATTAGTCGTGATGGTACACAGTGCCTATCAGCCAGTTCAGATGGATCTATTCGATTGTGGTCATTAGGCCAACAACGTTGTATAGCGACCATTTTGGTTCATGATGAAGGTGTTTGGACATTACAAGCCAATGAAACATTCAATACTGTTTATTCGGGTGGTAAAGATCGTCGTGTAATGATGACTGATGTTCGTCAACCTCAAAATCGAACTGTGATATGTGAAGAGAATGCTTCCGTTTTGAAACTGTTACTAACACCGCCAGATCATCGTTATATATGGGTGGCTACAACTGATTCCTGTATTAAATGCTGGTCATTAACCAGTAATAAAAGAACATCTTTACCATCAGATTGTAATAGATATACGAATGAATTAGTCAACGTTTCTCAAGCACAATCTTCAACAACAATAATGAATGGTTCATCTAGCAATAATCATCGTAAAATATCGAATGCATCATCGATCTCTTCCACATCATCATCGATTACTGAATCACAAAAAAGTAATGATTCATTACAATTACAACCACTTAATCGGCGGCCAGAATTAATAATACGTGGTAATCCTGCTATTCGTAGCTATCACATTCTTAATGATCGACGTTATATTATTACCAAAGATAATGATGATAATGTAGCCATATATGATGTCCTTAAAGCATCAAAAGTAGAAGATTTAGGAAAAACAGATTTTGATGCTGAAATTAAACGACGTTTCCGAATGGTTTATGTACCAAATTGGTTTTCGGTTGATTTAAAAATGGGTATGTTGACCATACACCTAGAAGAACCAGATTGTTTTAGCGCCTATGTATCAGCTCGTGATTTTGGTCTTCAAACCATCGGAACTGGCAGTAGTGATAATGATAGTCAAGCCAGTACTGGAAATGTTACAACAAACAATACTTCATCATCATCATCATCGACACAACAGGATGCTAAAATCAATCTTGGTTGTTTAGTACTTCAAGCTTTGTTTGAATATTGGCCTCAAAGTCATACTCATCTAGTTGATAATGATATTTCGAAAACTATTGATTCTCATGGTGATTCTTCCATGTGTAATGGTAATGATCAACATTCGCATAAACATCATTCACATAGTAATGGCAATGTTAGTGGATCATATTCTTCAAGACATCATCCCGATTTGCAAGGGCCGATTAATCGATATTTTTCGATACCACCACATACACCTTTAATAATTAGTGAGAATAGTAGTCCGGGTGGTTCGCAACATCGAACACTATTGAGAATAAGAATCTGTGAAGCAAAACAAGATAATGAAAATGGACATTTACAAGAAATGGTGCCTATTTGGGTGAATAATATTGTTGTCGAACGTAAATGGCCTGCGTTCAATAAAATATCTTTTTTTGTACATCCTCATCCATCGATGGAATTGAAAAACTCGAAAAAAGAACATTTTAGTGCCATTGATATGTTACTGATTCGCAAAGTGATTGAACATGTTTATACAAAAATATGTAGAGAATTGTTTGATCAACATTCAAGCAATGTTAATTCAATGTCATCACAACAACATACAACAGTTGGTCCAACCAATAGTTCTTCCAGCAATTGTTCAACGCCAGTTACGAATAATGGTCCTTCCTATCAATCAGCTAATAATGGTGCAATGAATGGAAATAAATCATTGACAACAGGTAATCCTCATACCACCAATCATAATCACCATCAATCCCATGGCCATAATTCTCATCATCATCATCACCATCATCATTATCATCATCAACATTGTAATAGTACTTGTAGTACACGAAGTTCAAGTAGTTCTAGTAGTGCTGGTAGTATGTGCAGTAGACATTCATCTTCATGTCATGCTGCAAATGGTAATACTACCTCGGATAGTCCTTTGAATCAAAATGGGCAAACAGCCGTCAAAGAAAATGGACAAGATAATGATGCTGCCGCAAATTATTGTTCGACTGCAGCGGAAGAACGTGTCGAATTACTTTGTCAAGATCAAGTTTTAGATCCAAATATGGATCTAAGAACTGTTAAACATTTTATATGGAAATCCAGTGGCGATCTGATACTTTATTATCGACCAATCAAATAAAATTCAAAAAAAAAAATTACTCACTTTCAATTCATCCACTTTTCAACAAAATCAACGGTGCATTATAATATATGTTGTTTCTCTTTCATTGAATTTTTTTCTTCTTCAAAATTTTCATTTCACCATATCTCTCATCTCATCTCATTAATTATTGAATGCACCCATTATAAATATAATCGAAAACTGTTTGCAAATCAACACATTCTTCAAATAATATCACGAAAGAAACATGACACGATTTTTGTTTGTTTGTTTGAATTTTTTTTTTCTTTCACAGCCGAAATAGTCATTTTTGTTTGTTTTATATTATCTGTTCTGTTTTTGAAATCTATATAAATGATAGAATGAATAACTGTATTTAAAAAAAACAAATTTTATTACTATATTTTTCTCTCTTAAATCATTTTTTTCAGTTATTAATTTATTTCATTAACGTCATGAATATTTAATTTTTTTACTGCTTTTTTTTGTTATTTTTGTTTTGTTTGATTGTTTTTTGTTTCATCCAGAAAATAATCTGCTTGTTTCCTTCAATGAAGAAATTATTCATCAATAACAACAACAACAACAAAAAACTTGTATCCAAAATGTATTCATGTTGCGATAATTCTTGAGAATGGTTCGATTTTTTTCGAATTGAATAAAAGTTTATAATTTTCTAAATTCCTGTGTTCAATTTTTTTTGCATTTTACAGAATTCCACGAATTTTGTTTTGTCTTTCGAATTCAAGATGGCAGCACTTTGAAAGTTTTTTTTGAAACTAAATTCCAAAGAATTCATCAAACACTTGTAGCAAGACTTCAAAAGTGGCTTTTACCTTTTATTTTTTAATTTTATAAATTCAAACGATTTTTCACCATTTTAGTCAAAAATTATTAGTAAAGATAGTAAATATCCATATGGATGGTTTTTTCATTCACAAGTTAATTAAATAAGTGTATTTTTTTGTTTGACTGTGTGTAATTGTTAATTCCAACAACAACAACAATGGTGGGTAGAATTATGTGTAGGTGTTTTGTAAATATATGTTTTGACTAGTTATTAATGTTTGATAAGAATAATAAGGTATAAAGAAATAAATCAACATCAAGTGAAGGTCTTTATGGTTTATGATTGTCAAAAGACATCAAAACGTTTAAAGAAAATTAGATTTTTAGCTATCTATCTATCTGGTTTCAAAGATCCGATTCACCATACAATGCAGTAGAGAATGAACGATAATCTAATGCTCCGGGAACACTTCCAATGCCTTTATATGGTGCCATACGTTGGATACAGTATTCAGCTTGATCTGGTGGCAATTCTCTTCTGAGGTCTTCAGCGGTAATATAAGGCTATAACAAAAAAGAAACAGAATTAGAAAACAACGTCTCATTTTTGACAAAATAAGCCTTACCTTATCACTTGCCAGGATTCTAAATGAATCGATAATTTGTTCAGCCGTATCTGAATCGGTGCTTTCACGAGTCATGAAATCAAGGAAAGCATCAAAAGTAACGTAACCTGTATTGTTTGGATCAACACGGCTCATGATACGTCTAAAATCATTTTCACCTTGACGATCATTTCTGATGTTATAACCAACCGAAATAAGGCAAGATTTAAATTCATCCGGATTCAAACGACCAGTACGTGTTTTGTCAAAATGATTGAATGATGCACGGAATTCATTAAGCTGTTCCTGTGTTATTCCTTTCGAATCACGAGTTAAAATTTGATTTTCAACTTCATTAATATTTCGTTGAATCGATGTTAACAACTGTTCCCATCCGACACGTAGAGTCTAGAAAAAAAACCAAATTAAGTAAATAAAATTGAACATTATCCATAGTACTTACCTCCATTGTATATTGTGTATAACGATTTTCAAAAATCATATTTTCCTGCACTTCTTGATGAATCTTTTCCATTTCTTCCATATGAACTTTGTACATGTTAACAGCTTCTTCATATTGACGTAATTTCATCAATTGTTCTTCTAATGATCCTTGCATTCCCATTCCAATGGCAGCAACAGCATCAATATGTCGTTCAATCCATGGACCAACACCGTTAGCTTTTTCGGCAAATTTTCTACGTAAACCTTCGTTTCGTTGTTGTCGAATCAATTCTGATTGCAATGTTTGATCTCGTTTTGGCACTAATTGTCTAACATCATTCCATTTAGTAGTAATTTCCTACAGGTAAAAATACGGTTATTAAACATTTAGATTTGCAAGCAAAAAATGACAAGACAACACTTACCGATGGCAACAAAACAGTGTAAGGATTTTCAACACCACCAGGAATTTGATATTGAGTAGCAAAGCTTTGAATTTCCTGTGCTAATTTAATAATTGAATTATATTCTTGATCAGCTTCACCTAATGTACGTTTAAATTGTTCATGTGCTTCGATTAATCCTTGAATTTCTTCAATAGTATGTACGATAAACATATCGACTAAATCTTCACGAGCTCCATCCAACCAATTGTTAAATGGTGCAGCACGTTTAGCAAATTCCAAATGAAGTTGATCAATTTTTTCCAAAACACGTTCCGCTTCTTCCAATGCTTGACGTCGTTTTTGTGTTAACGTACCGAAACGATCCCATTGATCGCAGATACGTTGACAACGTGCATTAACTGACGCAGAATCATGATAATTAAGTGAATATAATTCTTGAGCAATGGCAGCAATTTGTTCAACACGATCTTGATGAGCACTAAGATCACTTTCAAAAGCTTCATGTTTCTTTTTCAATGCTTTCACTTCATAAAGACGACAATTACGAAAATCTTGACTTTGTAATAATGCTTCTTTGCCTTGTGTCCATCCTTCATGTGTATCGGCTTTATGTTTGAATTTTTGTGCCAAATGATCTAAACGTTCTAAACGCATCATTTCCGATAGAAGCCATTCTTCAAATCCTTTTTCAGCATGTTCTAAACCTTTCCAAGCATTATTAATATCTCGTACTGTTTTACCTTCGGATGGCATATATGCTGGTCGATTTGAAAGGCGTAATTTGGTTTGCAATGTATTGAAATTTGTTTCCAATTTGCCTTTTTGTTCAACACGTGGTGGTTTATGCATACGACGATATGCACGAAATTCTTCTAATTTTTTCTGTGCTGTACTTAATTTATTATCAGTAGTTTTATTTTCCAACCATGGTGTTGTACGTCGGATCCAATCCAAAAGATCACTAGCTAAACGTTCATATTCTTCCATCATACGTTCATTATCTTGATTAACACGAAGAACTTTACATATACGATTCGAAGCAGTTTCAGCCTGAATAATTTACAATGAATTTTTAAGAAAGAAAGAAACAAAATTAATAATTTTATTTCGTTAATTAATGAAAAAGGCGCTTTGAAAACAACAAAGAACAACAAGCATGTCCATTTTTTTTTGGTGGATAAAATTGAAGCAAACTTTTTTCTCGTTGTTAACACACACACAACACACACTTATTAATAAGATCCATCACTAGAAACAAAAAAAAAATCATACCTGTTGAGCACCAGAAAAGGTGTGATAATATGATGAAACATAAGTCATTACGGCACGTTCATCCGGAAGCGGACTAATATTAATATCTGGGATTATTATTTTTCGTCAAATCAATCAAGGAAATATTGAAGCCAATTTTATGTTTGGGAATCATCATAATGGTCAGATGGAAATGAAGCCAAGTAAATTTTTTAAAAAAAATATAAAGCAAAAGAGGTTAATAATCAATTAAGGTTTAGTGCAAAAATTTTGATTTGATAAAATTATTTTAGTTTTACACTTTCTCACATCATTCATTCATTCATTCATGGTTAAATTATACGAGAAAAAAATTCTTTGATAAATAATTAGCAATTGGCATTGAAATTATGTAAAGAGATAAAAAATCAAAAATGAGCAACAGGCAGGTAGGCAGCAACAGCAGCAACAAGGCATGATGTTACCGACCATCTTGTTGTTGTATGGAACTGATGATGCAGTTCCAATAGGGGAAACGAAATTGTTGTCGATATTGGTGTTGGGTATAATGGGCATACCAGCACCACCAACTCCAAAACCTTTTTTAGCTTCATTTGTTGGCTCAACGTTTACCTTTTGAGCACCTTTTAAGGCGTGATAATAACAAGAAACATATGTCATCACTGCACGTTCATCTGGTTTGACCATGTTGACCATTTCTATTTAAATGACCAAAAATTTTATTTTTTAAACACATATGATACGGTCATCATCATCATCATAATGATTGTTTTAAACAAGAATTTTTTTTCGGTTGTTACATTATCATTATTGTGAATTGAAAAAGAAAAAAGATGAGAAAAATTAAGAAAAAAAGGAAAGAAATTATAAGAAAAAAAATGACCAAAAGATCATCATCATTAAAGAAAGAAAGGAAAAAAAGGTCAAACGATATTATACTAATGAGTGGGATGTTTTTGATTATTTTGTCCTTTAGTTTTTGTCAGAGAAAAAAATTTTCAATCAGAATCAGAAAAAAACAGATAAAATCCATAAACTAAATGAAAGAAAAAAGCTTTTTTTTTGTTGGTTTGTTGGAAGAGAAATGAGAAAATCTACAATAATCTGAACAGCTTATTGTTTATTTTGTGAAGAAAAAAGAAAGAAGATTATGAAAAAAAACCTATGAATGAAAACATCTAGTCACTGTAGTAACTGTATCGACAATATATCGTATTTTAAAATGGCAAAAAACACAAAAACATACCTTCCGCATCCAACATTCTTGGTATGCCTAAATGTTTTTCAGCAACATCGAATGCTGTATTCAAATTTTCTAATGGATTGTCCTTAAATTAGTAGAATAAAAAGTGTTAAAAAATGTGTATTATTGAAAACAGATAATAATGGCTAATTACTTTGGACAATTTTGAATAATCAATCAAATCTGGACGATGACGATGTATCAATGCACAGAATGCCAGACCATCTTTCCAGCTCAAGTGGAAATTCTGTACATTAACATTACGATAGGGGGCAGTTTTTCTTTGGCACCATAATAATAAACCTTCTTTGGCGGTCATTTCTGTGGAAAAAAATTCATTTGAAATTGATAAACAGAAAAATTAAACAAACACAAACCTTCAACAGAAATATCTTGAATGGCAAATCGTAGAATAATTGTCCAAATAAGACCTAATGTCATTTTAGAATTACCATCAACAATTTCTTCCGCTCCGATTGAAACCAATTTAACACCTTTACTTGCAATAAAATCCAATGCTTTATTAACATTGGCAATTTTATGGAAACGCATTTTTCCACGATCAGGTTTCGGTAATGTTTCACCCGATATTACTTCCAATAATAACATTAATTTTAGACCATTACGAAAATCTTCTTCAATATTTTCAATCTGTGTACCAGCTTTGCTTAGATGTGAATTACACCATGCAGTAAATGTCTAGATTTTATTTAAAAAAAAACAAAAAAAAAATCAAAATTAAAAAATCGATTACAATCATAACGATCGATAACACATAATATTCTCAACTTTATCTTTTCATCCAAAATATCAATTGAATGTCATCATTGAAAGAAAATGATTCTTGTGTCGTTTGACAAATTGTCACATTTTTCATTTCATTTCTTTTTTTGTTTTTTCAATTTTAAAATTTTGTCATTTTGAACATCAAGACAAGCGAAGACATTTCCTTTTTTTTATTGCTAATGGGCAATCATCATTATCATCATTTTCTCTTCCAGACAAATTACAAGTCGTTTGTCATTTTCGTTCTTTATCAATTGTCATCATCATCATCATCATTTTGAAATTTTTGAAGAAATCTTTCTCAGATTCTTTTGATAACCTTGAAAGTTTTCAAATCATAATTATTATTATAAAGTTGGAAAAATTGGTGGGATTTTTTCATTTTCCCTTGAACGAAACAAAAAAAAAATTTCCGAAAAGAAAATGTTAGCCAAGCTCGGAAAAGCAAATATCAGTTTACAGTTTTTTGTAGCCGGTTTATTTTTTTCCCGTTGTTGTTTTGTGATATGGTTTACAACAACAAACAACAACAACCGGTTTTCATTTACAAGCGAAAAAAAGGAAGGATTGGATTCCTTCTAAGACGAAATCAAAACACTTGTTTAGAGATGAAAATCACTGGAAAAATATTCCGAAATTTTGTTCATTGACGAAAACTATTTTTTTTTACAAATAAACAATAGTTATTTATTGAAAATTCGTGCAATGAACAAATAAAAAATAATCGAGGATCGAATACAAAAATATTGTTTCTTTTTGGATGATGATGATGATACATAATTATGGTCTCTGTTTAAAAAGTGAATGAAAAAAATTTCTTCATTTTTTCATAATGTTCATGGAATAAATACAATGTATCAAAGAACAGAATGGAACAACAATAAACAAAGATATTTATGTCCATCACCAAAGCGTGTCGTCAGATGATCATCATCATCGTTTGTATCCGTATTGAGCATTTAATCCCAAAAAAGAAAAAAAACAGCAGAAAAATGAAAATTCTCATAATATTTCATGGGAAATTGGTCGGATAACAATATTATTATTATTATACACTTGTTGCTTTACAAATTATTATTATTATTTTCTAGTTGTCTAAAGTCCAAGTCTTTTTCTAGTTTAGTTTAGAGATGCCTTCGATTTACCGGACAACAACAAGGTTTATTCGAATAATAGACTGCTCATCATCATCATCATCAAACAACAAAACCGAATACAAAAGGCTTATTTTTGTTCGGATGTAAATGGATATCAATCACCAGAAGCTTTGTAATATTTTTTTCGTGTTTGTGTGTGTTTAAAGGGGCAAAGAGAAAGATCCATTTTCTCATAACTAATAACGCTAATCATCATCAACATAGGAGATCGAATTGATGATTAAATGATGTAGCAGCTAATTATAATTACCATTTTAGTGTATATAAAAAACCCGAAACAACAACCGAAAAACAAATAAATAAATTTTGTTAATCAAGTAACCGAGCTCTATCTCAATCATGTCTGGTTTAATTTTCATCAACAACAAACAAAATATTGGACATTCTCAATCAATATATATCGATGGTTATTTATTTATTTATATGTGGAGAGAAAAAAAAACGAAAACAACATTAAATTAATGTTGTTGTTTTTTCATTCACTCCTAATCCATCATCATCATCATCATCATACTGATGATGATCGTAATCAACAAAATTCATTCATTCATCATTTTTCGTTCGGTGTTTTGATCACCAAAATCAGATCAACATGTTGATATGATGAAACCTAGCCTCTTTTTTGAACAACAAAAAAAAGGTTGTTTTTTTCTGGTCGAGATCTGTCTTCTGATCTGTTTTTCACAGTGAAATATTGGGATTGATAAGAACGAACGAAGAAAAAAAATGTATATCATTTCTTGGAGATAATTGATAGGTATTCTTATCATTTGATGATGTTACCTTCAAACATTGCAAATCTTTTTTTTCAATTTCAAGAAAATTATTCGTAACACCTTTTGAATGAATGAATGGATTCATTTTTTGGAAGAAAATTATTCCAACAATTACATTCCATTTAACTATTTTATTGTTGTCGTTACATCCATCCATATGGTGATAACAATAATAACTTCTTCTTCTTTGACCAAAGAAAAAAACCCAAAATTAAATGTTTGTAAAGATGAAAAAAAGCTTGTTTTTTCACTTCTTTTTCTTCGAAAAATTGTATAAAATTATTATGCAATTTTTTTCTGGGGTTATTTATGCACATTCTTTCGACGACAACAACAACAACAAAAAACTGGAACAGACACCACCAACACAGTTTTTCGTGAATATGTTTTTTTATATATCCAAAACGAAAATGAAAAATAACAAAGATCATCTTTTGTCTTCGGGCTTTTTGCACGAGCATCAATCATCATGCAGAAAATGATTTCAAGCAAAGATGATGGTCGCTGAATGGTGATGACCGCAAAAACTTCTTTTTTAACCAAAAAACAACAAAAAAAAACAATCTAAATTCATTCAAAAAATATAAAATTCCCGAAAAAATGAAATGAAATGGACACGATTTGTTTTTAATTTTTTCATCATTCAAGATCTAAATCAAAACTGACCCAAAGTTTTTTCGAACATGATGATGATGATATGGCGCCCACATGGTTATTTTTTGTCTATAAAAATTTCTGTTCTAGATTTTGTTAAGACCTGTTCATAATAATCGGACAAATCAGAAATCAGAAAAAAAGATTGCTATCAAAACATATCATGACAAAAAAAAAACAAAAATTAACACTCAATGATAATCCAGGTATATTTTACACGGATTTTTCTCTTGGGCTAATTGATTGAGAGAATTTGAATTTTTTCTTTTTTGTGAATTCATTCAGGAAAAAAAATATAATGAACTTTTTGTCTTGTGGTTCATTTTGAATTGCAATCAAATGAAAAACCAAAAACTTCATCAACAACATGGACAATGATAATGATTGCCAAGAAAAAGACAAGACAAAAAAGAAAAAAACCATTATCAATTTTCTCAATATCGAAATGGTAGTTATACAATCATCATAGACTATTGTTTTTTCTTTTTCTTTTTCTTCTCAACTTTGAAAGAAAATGAATAACCAAAAACAACCAAAACATTGAAATGTTGATCAGAAAAACCAAACCGAAATATATTGATGACATTATCGTCATCGTCTATCGTCGTCTATGGTCGTAGTTTGTCTAAAATCATCATCATCATCATCATCGGTAAGATCAATGACACCATTTTTGATGATGATGAAATCATTATCATCAAGATAATAATAATGATGATGATGAATCAAAGTCTAGCAAACTTTTTTTGATTTCAACAATTCTCATCATCATATATTCACTATACAATTTAAATATCATATCAAAATGTTTATCAACAAAAAAAAACTCATTTGATTTTTTTTTTGTTTATTTGCGCACACTCTATTTTTATCAATTCTTTGATCGGTTGGTTTGATTTGGCTTAATTACCATCATCATCATCGTTTACTACAAAACAACAACATTGTACATTAATGTTTGAAAGGGGAGAGAGAAATAGAATGAATGAACAAGACATTCCAACAAGTTGTCATGTTTGTTTGCATAAGGATGTTTATCAAACAAGGCGTTTAAACAGGAAAAAAACGCCCACACATTATGCTTGTTAATTAAAAGATCAACCAAAGAGTAATTAAAATTTTTTAACTAATTTAATTTCTTCATTAGTTTAGTTTGTTTTTCACGTTTTTCAGGAAAAAAAAATTACGTTTCCTTCATCATGATCATATACAGATCATTTAGATCGATTTGAACTCTTAATGATGTCCGAGAAAAAAATCTTTTAAAATAAACGAAGGAAACAAAAATATATTTTCTCCTGGTCAGTCAATGTTACTGCTGTGCATTATGGATTATTTAAATCATATTATTTACCGATCATATTTGTTTGGTTTGTTTGTCTATGGTATTTAAAAAAAAGTATTACCCGAAAGAAAATCAGATTATCGGATCACAAAGAGACAGAGAAAATTCCTATATGCTTAATGTTTTTTACAAATAAAAACAATAATCAATCAGTGAAATCCACCAGCCAGCAAACAAAATCCATACAAATGGCCATGGCCAATATTGAAATTACATGGATAGATTACATATGTGTTATACAACAACAACGACAACTACCTGGGTGATCTACAATGGAATTTACTTTTTTTTTATTTACAAAGTTTTAACATAAATCAAATGAGGAAATATCATCAAAATATTCGATATGATCATATTAAGCAACAAAATGAGGCCAAAGAAATCTTCTTTAAATGCGGTTGATTTTTTTTGGTTGTTGTTGAATTGAACCAGTTTTTTTGGTCTAAATCTTGCACCTCGAGGATACAGAACAACAACACATCCGTAAAACATTGCAAAAAAACACCGGCTTTCAATAAAAAAAATTTCAAAAAAAGCTAATTAAACTACAAATCATAATCAAGGTTTAATTAGCAAGAAAATTCAGACGTTATTTTTAGATAAAAATAAAGCAAAAGTGTTTTATGGTTTTTCTAGCGAAATTTCTGTATGTAATTGTAATTTAATTTGGTTAAAAGTCAGAAATGAAATAATAAAAAATAAAAAATGATTTGTGTTAATTCAAAAAAATTTGTTTTGACATGTTTTGTCATCATCATCATAATTATTGAATAAATTTTAGCTTAGCTATGATTTCATAACAAAGCTAAAATTTCATTCAAAAAATGATGTTGATGATTGGCAAACAACAATGTTGACGTGGATAAGAATCATCTAATTATCATTGTTGTTTCATTCCAAAGTACATTAGCTAACTATTATCGGATCAATCCAAAGATAAAAATTATTCACATCTAATCATGCACATAATTATGTAAATGAATCAAAAATGAGTGGAGTACAGTGGGTTAAAAAAATGTAAAATTTTTCCAATACAGTGGGTAAAAAAACATTCGGTAGCAAAAAAAATCGATCAAAGATCGATCAATGATCACGATGATCGGTATAAAAAATTCGGAATAATAAATAAGCAACAAGTGAAAAGAACAAGTTGAAGGAATGAAACAGACAACCAACAAACAAACAAACAATTCAAGTGAACAATCAAACGTCAATCAAAAAAAAAAGAAAAGAAAAAAATGACGAAAAGCAATCATCATTTTGTTGAAATGACCGAACGAGATTGACCCGTTGTTTCATTTATTTATTTCGACAAAATCAACCCAGAAATAATGATGATGATCATAATGATCGAAGAAACGAAATGATCGACTAATTGGATCAAAATTGAAAATTACAATTTTTTTGATTGTTTTCAAAATCAAAAAAGGTCAAGAAGAAAAACGAAAAACGGCTGTTGTTTTATCACGTGCGTGACAATTTTTGAAAAAATGTTTCGACATCAGAAAAATGTCAGATTTTGTCAATGTTTCTATCAATCTGGTGTCAGAACCAGGATTTGTCAAACGAAACAAAATCGCTTAAAACATCTGGAAACCTTTTCTGTCTTGATTGACATTCACATTTATCGATCACATCCGTATCAGATGTGAAAATGATGATGATGACAATGAAAACATTGAAAAAACTGGCAAAACAAGACAGAAAAAACATCATCATTGAATGAATGAATCAATAACAAATGAAATGATTATTACTTTTGAATGCAATTCAATGATTGTCAGTCATGAAATAAAATGTTTTGGCTGTTGTTTTTGGCAATGATTTTCGTTAGTTTTTTTGTGCAAAAACAAATGTTTGTTTCCATAAACTTTTCAAGGGATTTTCATCATCATCGACAACAACAACTGAAAAAAAACGAAACGGAAAATTGCTCAAATATGGCCGATTTTTGTTGTCATTTTTTGTTCGATAATTTTTCCCAGTTGTCATTTTTTTTAATATAAACAAAAATGAATATAGAAACTCTGTGTCTGTGTGTATCTCTGACAAGCTCTAGTTTTTTTTGCTGTTTTCATTTCGATAAATAAATTGAGAAATAACAACAACAACAAATTATAAACATGATTTTCATTCGCCGATATGATTACCACCATTATCATCATCATAATCCAATCCAATCGAATATCCATATCCATATCATATCAGGCAGCAGCAAACCTACGCACATAGCGAAAGCAACAACAGCCAGAAAAATTACAGAAAAAAGATAACATTTCTTCGTTCAAAAAAAAATGGATTCCACAATTCAATATCCAACAGTCATCCATCATTTAGGAAGAAGCAGCAGCAAAAATAATAATAATCCAATTTTAACCAACAGAAAAAAAACAATTTAAATTTTTTTTCAAACAACAAAATCAAAAAACAAAAATTTGTTGCTTGAAATCAAAATCAAAATCAAATCATCAATATGTAGAACACACACACAAGGGAAACACATGAAAACAGAACTGAAAATCTAATTTTCTAATTTCACACCTGAACTGAATCATAATTTTCGTGATTTTCCAACAACAACATTTTTTTTGTTGGTTAAATTGCAAATGAGGAAAAAATAGTCCAAATTTTCTTTTAGTTTCATTAAAAAAAGGGATTACAAATTGAATTTTTTTGTAATTTCAGTGGCCATTTCTGCATAAAATTTTTTTTTCTCAAATCAAATGTTTTTGATTAAACGAAATGTCAAAGAATTTTCTATTGTTGATTTCATTTCATTTTTTGTTGTTGTTGTTTGCTACACTGCTTGACTATACCTGATTATCTTTAGCGCGATTTAATGATTATGAACAATAACAACAATTGATGAAAAACAATGCTGATGAAGGATAACAAAGGATTAATCCCGACCAACAACAACAAAACGGGTGCGCCAACAACAAAATATATCTTTATTTCTTAAAAAGGATTTGAATCGAACAAAAAAAATCACCGAAGATAAACGGTAGTGTTTTTTGCTTCGATTAAGTTTCCTTCAAAAGCAAAAAATCAGGATCAGGATGGAGTTTTTAAAGCAAGCTTTAAACATTTGAAAAATTTCAAAATGATGTAAAACAGAAAAATCGATTATTCAAGATTAAAATGATGACGGAAATATTTTTTTTCGGAGCAAAATTGGATCAAAGTAGAGAATGTCAGACGATTATTATCGTTCGTTGTGGTCATCATCATTATCGTTGAATATAGAAAAACAAGATTCAAACATTTGTCACTGATTATCATCGGTCATTGGATTTTCTTTTCCCTTCGTTGCCTGACACTTGTCAAAAAAGAGAAAGTTCAAGTATCATTCAAAGCAACAAGTGTTACATGACCAATATTGCACCATGATCATCATTTAAATGGAAATCAACAAAATTAAAATAATTTTTTTGTCAAACAGTCAAAAAACAGTTTGTCTATTTTGATTCCGAAGAAGAGAAAAGAGGCGAATAACAAATTATAAATGAAAAAAAAATGGAAAATTTTCATCAATTAATTATGAATCAATCGATCAATGATATGATTGGAAAAATTGATTAACAATTTTCGATGAAATCTACACTTGTCATTAATCATTCATTTTTTCAATTTCTAACAAATTTAACCCGTTAATTTAATCCATTAAACAGTTTTTCTAGTCAATTTGTTGTTTGATTCACACATTGACATCAACGATTGACATTGAAGGTTTCTTTTCAAAAAAACGAATTTCATTCAATGTTGTTGTCATTCATTTTTTATTTTGAAATTTAAAAATAAAAAAAAATTTAGAAAAAAACTGTTGTTGTTGACAATGCTGACTCGGTATATATTCGATATATAAATCGAGTGTAGATGAATAGAAAAAAATACCAAAAAGAAGAATTTCATCGAAATTCTTTAGCTCAACTTAGCTCTTTACTTACTTACTTTTCTAAAATTGTCATTTCTATTTTCATTTCATCAATACATACATCACACACACACACACACATACACAGAGACAATCCTTTATGTTCTTCATGTTCAAAAAGATTACAATCATGAACTAAAAAAGGAATGTCGTTTTGGTTTTCCCTCTCCCTCTCTTACGTTCGTCATTCGAGAATTGTGGAATCTTAAATATTTCAGAATAATCAAAATATCAACCAAAAAAAGAAGGAATTTTCTTGGCTTTCGAGAAACAAAAACATTTGAGAAACAGTTGCGGTTTTTTCACTATAGAAAACAAAACCTGATTTCGTTTCTTTTTGTTTAGTTCATCATCATATTCATCATAATAAATCATGAAAATATCATTATTATCAACCTATCATCATCATCAATATGTAATCGATATTTTTGAAAACAAAATTGAATTGAAAACATCGATATTAATAGATTAATAATAATAATGAAATAATAAAAGTTTTTTCCCTCTCTGTGTGTTTCTAAATCTAGATTTCTAATGAAGCAAATGACATGTGTGTGATGACAATCAATCCATTCACAATCAATATGGATATGATGCTGTTGTTGTTTTCTTCAAAAAAATGATCGATGATCTTTCGAATCAAAAAAAAAAAATCTTTTCGTGTATACATTGTATATATAAACCAGCGAAACATTTGGGCCAAACACACACACATCAACAATGTTTGTTCAAAAAAAAAATCAAGTCAAGGGAAAAATGAATGGAAACAAAAAAAAATCTTAACATTTTTTTTCGGGTTAAACATTACATTACATACTTTTAAAACAACACAAACAAAATATTTCATTTCCTTTCCACAATGTGTTCTGTTCATCATTCATTTTTTTTTTGTTCAATAATATTATCCTTTGAGAACTAATTTTAGAAACTTTTTTCAAAATAAATACTTTCGTCACCATTTATAAGTGAAAATGAATGTTAAATTCTTTCAACATGACAGAATTCTTTTCTACTGTTACACAAGAAAATATAATAATATATAGAGTGTGTCTGATGAATTCAATGAACGACAATCAAAGCTTCAAAACAAAAACAAAATTCTCAAAATTGGCAAACACATCAATCAAACGGGTTAAAATTTTTTTTTTACTTAGAATAGAATCCATTTGGCATACATTCCATGTAATTTTTTTTTCATTTATTTTGTCCTATTTGAGTAATAGAAAACAACAACAAAAATTTTACAAGCGAATCAGGGCTGCGAAATTATTAAAATTGATGATGATGATGATGACAAAAATAAGAAATTTGATAATTTTTTTCCCGTTTGCTTGGTAAAAACATATCATAATTCATTTTTTTGTTAATTAAAATGTAAAATTTTGTAACAAAAAAAAAAGTTATTAAGATTTTTTTTCTTTCAAGTAATGTTTTGGAATGTAATTTGCAAAGGAATCTATCTATAGTTCAATGACCAAAAGCGAATACCACCAATATGAGTGTGTACCATAATAATGATGGATCATTAAGCGCAAACTCAATCTTGGAACTAAACAAAAAAATAACTCAACAAGGATTTTTATAGACCGGGGAAATAGAATATTTCATGGATGCAAAACAATAAAAAAAAACAATAAATAATACTGATCCTACCTAAATTCAATTTGTAAATATGGACTAGTCATAATTATGATGATGTTGAACGAATTAAAAGAATTTAACAAACTAACCTTTCTTTGTTGTTTTTCCCATGCTGGATCTAATAAACCTTCACGTTCCCATTCTTCTTCTTGTTCCATATAACCACCATCTTGTTGTGTACCACCAGCAACACCCATCATTCTTGGTGAAGTATTATTCATAATATATGGTCCTTGATGCATCATATCGACCATTTTATTGTTATTATTATCGTTATAATCAATTAAATGACAATTTGATGATAATAATGTATTATTAACAATGATAATTTTATTATTATCGTCGGCGTTATTGTTCTGTTGCTGTTGTTGATTTTCGAATGATTGTTGTTGTTGTTGTTCAATTTCCGATTGTTGTAAAAATAAATGTTGATAATGTTGATGATTAGAAGAAATCAATGGATTATTTTCAACACTATTTTTCGATGATAATAATAATGATGGTGATATCACTTGATGATCAACAAAACTATTGTCACTATTTTGTTGTTGATTATTATTCACATAATCAAAAACATTTGATGATGATAATGATGAATCAGAAAGTTGTTCTTGTTCCTGCTGTTGTTGTTCGTTTGAATCTTCCTTTTCAATTGATTGTTTTGTTTGTTGTTGTTGATTAGATCGTTGTTGTTGTTGTTTTTTTGTTGTTAATAACCAATTCCAAAATTTATCCGATAATAACAGATGAATTAAAAGAAAAATAAATAAAAATTGTAACAATTCTGTCAGAACAATTATTATCGATTGTGAATCATTGGTCGGTGGATGTTGTTGCCAATGATTGCCGGTATTGCAGCCGGTTGGAATCCAAACAAAATCTATTTACAAAAACATGAAAAAAATAACGAAATTTGAAAATAAAAAACGAAAAAAATACTAAACCTGAATTGGATATAGAATCTATTCTGTAAAAGAATGAATTTTCACTTTGATCGATTAGGATTGTTGAATCAAATAAATCCGCCTTTCGCTGTTGTTGTTGAATGATTGGATTGTATAATTTTGAATCAACGAATGACGACAAACTACTATTACAAATGGCAAATGGCGTCTGATCGCGAATAATGCTGTTGATGGAGATGGCGTTTGTTTGACTATCGTTGTTGTTGTTGTTGTTGTTATCAGTTTTGGCTGCCTCTACCACAAATAACGGGATTGATAATAATAATAATAATGTGGAAGCAGTGAAAATCCAGTTTGACAGCAACCAATATAATGATGATAATTTTGTAAAGAAACAGTTATTTGAATGTTGTTGATAACAGTCGACTAATGTTGATAATGATAATAACCGAATTGGTCTTATTTTTTTCTTGATTATAAATTCAGCAACCACTACGATGATGATGATGATGATAGCAATGAAATAAAATGATGATGATGATGATAACAACAAACTTGAACACCATGAACAACAGTAATCAAAAGAATTTGAATCTATGCCAATCGTTGTTGGTGTTGTTGCTGCTGGTTGGGATAATAATGTTGATAATAAAGTTTCAAACGACGACAGTATCAATGAATCAGTAACGTAAATGTTTGAATTTTGTTCAATTGAAATTGATTGTTTTTGTTTATCAATATTTTTCAATGATTCCATTCATTCATTCATTCAATCAATTTTTTTCCCTCTCACTTTGTTTGTTTGTTGTTGTTATTAAAAAAAAAATTCGAGCAAGTTCATAAGTTAAACAGAGAAAACAAAACAGAAATCAATTGAATGAATGAAAAGAAAAAGAAGAAGAAGCACACCGAATAACGGTGGGTCCCCATAGTTGTTTTTGTTTTTGTTTTTTTTTTTTTTTTGTTGACCGATATTATGCTTCTACCACACACTGGTCATAGGGCATAGGGTCTTGAGAAATTTCTCCCCGAAAAAAAATTAATCATTGAAAAAAATGACAGAAAATTTTCCCCAAAATTTTTTCTTTTTCCCCTCTACTTTATTGACTGGCCATGAAAAATCAATTAATTTTTTACCACAACAACAGGTGAGAATTTATCATGATCATCAATGATGATTATCATCATCGATAACAACAACAACAGCAACAAAACATTTTTGAGGTAGTTGATAATGATTTGACGAGTTTCATCATCATCATCATCAAACGACCTTGATCTGAACACTGAAATCAAAAAAAAAAAAAGATATAATGAACAGCCATGGTCAAGTTAACCAGACTGACAACTCAAAAAAAAGTAGAAAAATTTTACAGCAACTTTAACCCTTTTTTTTCTCTTTCTATCACTCTCTGAAGCATCCTATTTGAAATTTTTCTTCGTGAAAAATAATTAATTCACTTTAGTAGTTGAGTATCTCTCTCACTATGTCACTAAGATATATTATTTGAATAATTGAAAAATTGTTCTAACTTTCCCCCCCTGTCAATATCAAGATGACCACCACCACCACCAAAGCAAATGATCAATTTTTACTTACCCAGCTTGATGATGATGATGTTTTTTGTTGTTGTAGCATGAAAAAAGGGAAAAAAATATTAGAATTGTTGTGTCAAACACATTGAGACAAATAAAACAAAAGTTTGGCGACAAATCGTTATCGATTTGGCTGTTTTTGAAGATTTATGGATTTACAACCATAATATTGAGATTTTTTTTTTGCTTTTCAGACTGTCTTGGTTTGTATATCAAATCGATATGATGATGATGATGATGGAAATTGAATTGACGGTGGAATTTAGCAAAACAAAAAACATCTACATCAGCAACGAAAAGTAAAGGCAAATTCCATTGAAAGTAAAGGAGGAAGACAGACGAAAAAGATTCTTGATTTTTGATTGTTTTCAGGAAACAAACAAACAAAAAAGTTTACAATAATAAAATGCCATAAACATTGCCAAGAAAGCCACAGAAAAAAAACAAAATTTAATCAATCTTTTTTTAAATTGAATGATGATGATGATCCACCAAACCAGACGCCAAATGATGTTCTCTTTTTTTCTGGTTTTCAAACGACGAATAAATTAGAGAAGAGAGAAACCAGAGCAAATGTTTGAAAGATGCAAATAAAAAAGATGCAAAGCTTTGCAATTATATATTTTTTATTGTTTAAAATAATTATTATGATATGATGCATCTTTACCGACGACAACAACATTCCAGGTTAAAATCTTTTTTTATTAGCATCCAATTTTGTCACTTGTCGTCATAAAAAACAAGTATTTTTATTTTCGAACCTAATTTGCCGAAAAAAAACGGAAAAAGAAAAAAATTTAGGCTATTTTTACTCAGACTTACTTTTTTTGATATTTCGGATATGATTTTTTCGTTAAAATAGCGACAAAAACTTGAAAAAATTTTCATTTTCAATTTTGATTCGTCGCCCATTAATAAATCACCTTTATCATCAACAACAACAACAAAAAATGTAATGAGAAATTACATTTTTTATTTAATTTTTATTATTAATGGCAAAGGTTTTTTGTTTTTGTATTTCCAGGAAATTAATCTTGATTTGAATATCTTGGGGTTTTCTTTTTTGATTTAGATGAACATAATAATGATAATGATGATTATAACATGACGATGATGATCGAAGATATAATCAAAATAAATGTAGATTCGATTTGGTGGAATTCGATAGATTAATGATGATGATTAACCAAAGCAAAGATGAATGTTTTTTTTCCACTTTTAATATGGCTGTATTGGACACAAGAGAGTTGATTATCTTCACCAAAAAAAGAAAAAGAAAAACAAGGATCTATTTAATCCTTATGATAACATCATCATCATCAAGTAACAAGCATTTAATGAACAAATATGGATATAGATTTTTTTTGGCCATTAATTTTTGATCTATAAACAACAACAAAATTGTGGATGTTTTTTGATAACATAAATAGATAAAGAAACATGATGAATTTTTTTTAAAGGCAAAACGAAAAAATGAATGATGATTTACATCAATTTTTTTATTTCTCTTTTGGCTACTTGATCAAATCAAAATTAAATTTTCTTTAAATTTTTTTTGTTTTGATTTTTGCGAAAAATCGTTGATTTTTATGAAAATCGAATATTTTGTTTATCACCGGAATCGAATTCGATTCTAAATAAACAAACAAATGACAGGAAATGTAGAAATAGTCATTCGAAACTGGTTTTTGTTTTTCCTTTATGCAGTCTGCTCACGAAGTATTCGAATCATTCAATCAGAAAAACAAAATTTCCAAAAATGAAAAGGTTTGTATTGAATTTTTTTTTTGTTTTTTTTTTAAATTTCATTTGAAATAAAATTAACAACTCCAATCATCATCATCATCATTTTGATCGATATGATGAATGCATCATTGCATCATTCAGAACGAGCATCGTCATATTTTCCACACTGTTTTCCATCCTTCACATGTCATTCAAAACATGAATTGAAAGAAACAAAAAAAACATTGAACTTTGATGAAATTCAGGTCGATTCAATTCAGATTTTTTTTTTGAAAAAAAATCAACAAAAAAGGTGATTAGCTTCATTATCATTCGAAATTCGAATGAAAGGTGTATTTTTTCAACAACAAAAATTTATTTGACATGTTTTTTTCCCTGAAAACAACTCGCACACACTTTTTCCATCAAAATCTGACAAGCTTAAAATTTGAAAAAAAATCTTCACTCTTCTTCGTTAAATTATGTAAATCTTATTCGACAAATGAGATATATGATATTCTCAAGCTAATTAAACACCTTTAAACCTTCTGTGATTATGATTTTTAATCCATAGTTCAAGCAGGCTAACAACAACAACAAAAATCGAGCATAATTTACGAATGTTGATGTTGATGATTTCAAATCACGAATCCAAATCAAAAATTTGTTTATTTTCATAATAATCATTTATTATTATTGTACAATGGCGAAAATCAAATGAAATAATGATAAAGATAGAAAAGAAACAAAATACAATTTATGTAAATAAAACACACCATCATAGATGTGTGTTTCAAGCATGTACAAAATCAATAACCGGTGACCGGCACACAAAAAAAACATGTTCGTTTATCCGATCGAATTTCCCGAATTAGGCAATTTTTTCAGGTATTTTTCGGAAAAATTTCATTCAAATCTAATTTAAGATGTTCAATAAGGCTAAGTTTTAATAAATGTAATTGTATTGCCAAAGACATTGATGATTCAATCAACGATTTATTGAATTCAATATGATCCATTTGTAAAAATTTTTGGCCATTAATTTCTTTGGATGGATGAAATTGAAAATTTTCCGAATCAATTAAATTATTTTTCATAAATGTTTGAACATCATCAACAGTCCATTCCAATGGTTTATCACTTAAATCCTTAAGATTTGGTTGTTTTAATTCAGCTAATTTATAAACTTTTTCTTTAAATTCTTTAAATAAATCTTGTTTATCAATATTATCGGAAACAATATCCGATTCATCAATATTATAACCAAAATTATCTTTTTTCTTTTGATTCATTTCAGAATAATCATATTTAACTTTTTTCGATAATGATTCTTCTGTATTTTCTTTTTGATTATCCTCATCATCAATAGTTTTGGATTTTTTCGCTGAATTCCGAGAAAATACTTTGGAAAATGTTTGTTTAGGTTTGGAATAAATATCCGGTATAACGGTACTGGTATCAATTTTAATACTAGGAAAATGTACATAATGTCCACGTTTATTTTCCTGTGGTGCTGTACGAATCATCATATTACCCAAGCGGCCAAAATCCGTTCCATGTACTTTATAAACAATTTGCTGTGAATTTGTCGATTGTTGTTGTTGTTGTTGTGTATATGTCTGTATAGGTCTTTGATTCGATGGATTAGTATTAATATTGTTGCTTTTGATCAATGGTTCTTGAGAATTTATGAATGAAGAAGATTTGTCCATTGTCGATGATGATGATGATGATGTTGATGGAATTAGATTTTTATTATTAGCCAGACTAACCTCTCGTATAAGTTGAGTATTCATCGAACGTATATATTCACGTAATGATGTTTTAAATTGTAAAATTTTTGTATGTAAATCGGCTATTGGAAGAAGAAATTTTCGATTAAAAATTGCTCAATTAAAGAATAACAAAAAACAAACCGAATCGTATATTATCAATATAAAGTTGAACAGGTGATTTAAAATCAATATCCAACATATGTGTAAAACCGAATGGACGAATATGAGGACTAGTATATTCGGCCCACATTTGAAATGATGGTTCTTGATTGATGAATCTTAGCGAAATCAAACGATCTACAACACGATCAATCATTGCATAGCTAATAATACCTTTACCAACCATATTGAATGTTTCCAATATCATACCTTGTTTGAAAATATTATTCGAATTTGGTATGTTTGGAAAACAATTTGATTGGGCAGCTTTCATTTTCATTTTTTGTGCCAGATTTATCATTTTTGAATCAAATCTTATATCTATATTTAGTGAATAAATGGAGAATTGGTTATTTTTTTTGTAAAAGTTAAATGGATTTTTTGTAGTTACCATTTGAAACAAAAAGTGGTATACTATTACGATGACAAAAACCAATTGGAAATAGTAATGGTGATGTAACATGTTGTACGATTTGTGTTAATTTTTCCGGATTTATCAACGATTGATCTTCATATTCAAGTACAATAAAACCGAAACGTAATTTTCTTACAACTGTTGCAATTTTCATTCGATGACTTAATGGATCCAATAATTCAAGATAAGTTCCTATAATTTTGAATTGGAAAATTGGAAAATTTGAAAAAGGCAAAAACAAATGAAAAAACCTTACCAATTTGAAAATGATTCGGTGAATTTGGTTCGAATGGAAATAAACCCGGATTAACAAGATATTCATCAACAATTGAATCACATTTAGTTAATGTATATAATGATAATGCAATATAAGTATTTGGTGCATAAATAGGATATCCAATTAATTGTGACCAACCAAGAACGCGGAAAAAACCCAATTTCGGATGAACCCAAACAGTTTTTGATTCTCTTAAATCATTATCCGGATATTCATAACGAACTAATAACCAATCACCAAAACGTGAAATGATTTTACAGATTAAAAACCTGGATGCATCCATTGGATCGATTGTTTCGTAGAAAATATTCCAATCATATTGATCTGATACGATACAATCTTCAAATGATTCATGTAGATTTTTTTCCAATGTTGTTACATTTTTTGATAGCTGAAAAATATGTTCGATTGTTGCTAAACGCATAAAATTTGGCTGTACATATTGTCGTTTAATAATTTGACCATCCGAATTACGTTCAATAATGGGTAATAATTTTCTTGTACGAGGATTAGCAAGGAAATATGAATTACCTTGTCCAGGACCTGGACCAAGATAACGACATTTAAGAAAATAACCAAAACTAGCAACCAATTCTGCACGCCAATATTGATCACGATATGGTTGACGAACATCGACAACAACACGATTTTTAAATAAATCATCCCAACAATCGTTCATTGGTGTATGATGAAATGCACGAACAGGAGCGAATGAATGTAATTCAAATGCCATATGTAAGGAATTTACTTGATGAAACATACCACCTTCGATCATTGATTCCAATGGAATAAATGTATTTTCATCAAGATCAGTATCCAATTTATTAGATAATTTAGATTTTTTTCCTTTTGTTTTTGTATTAGTCATTTTAAGAATTTTACTAATATTTTTCTGTATAGGAAACATTTGATTTGTTTGTTGAATTGATGTACATCTTCGTTGAAAAACTAACGGATCATCAGGTGAACCAGGCAATATTGAATTATAATTATAATTATTGCTGCTGTTGTTGATTTGTGATGATCGACGATTACTATTACTATTATTAACATCAACATAATTATAATGACATTTATAACATTCACTTGAACAATATTCTTTATTTTTCCCGTAAAAACTATCTTTAATACCGATTTTTCGACAAAATAAACATCGTTTCCAACCATCTAAAGTTAGTCATTTGAAAAAAAATATTTTTTAAAATTACTTTTTTTTCAAAACCAAAAATCAAATCAAACCTTGAATAAGATCAGGCAGATCAATGTCCATCTGATATGATGAGTTTTCTCTTGACATTATTCAGTTAATTCAATAACAAACAAACAAACAAATGTTAATCAAGACAAAAATCCAAAACAAAATGGCTGAAACATGTGTATTGTGTTAAAATTGACGTTCCGCCATTTATCATTACAATAACATAGAGCTCATTTTGCTATTTCTACTTAAAATGAAACACGTGATCGATCAACATCACCAACATCATCATCATCATCATCGTTCAATCGTAAACAACAGGACAAACAGAACAACAACAATAACGTAGCGCCATCTATGCATCAATCGATCTGAAATGAAATGAAATTCAAAAAATAACTTTCAAAATCAATTTTATTTCCGATAAAAAGAACAAAAAGAAAATTTTTTTAGATAAAAATGTTTCCGAATATATATTATATGGCTGTAGGGATTTTGACGATAAAATTTCAATTACATCTGAAATCATCTTGCTACCACTGATTATAAATTGAATGAATGAATGAAAAAATGTTTCAAATATTTTTTTCCAATAGTATAATGAACTTTTGTTGTTTTTATACATTTATAAATTTTTTTTTAAAGAATTTCGAACCAGATTTTTGCTTTGAAATAAAATAAATATTGTGTGTTTAGTTTGTTTGTTTGAATTATAGCAATCGCGTCCCGTTTTTAATTAAAAAAAAAACTGATTTTTTTTTTGTTGGTTATAATTTTACAAAATGAGTAAATATATAGCATATGTATTATGTGAAAACTAAACTACTTTCGTCAATTTGTTTTTTGTCTGTGTGATGATGAAAACCAAAACCAAAAACCAAAAAAAAAAAAACGAAAAATCAAAACCAAAAATAAAATTAAAAAAAAAACCAAATCAGAAAAAATAAAACTTTTAAAAAAAATCAAATCAATTTTATTCTGTTTACTTTGTTGTTGTTGTTGTTTGTAATATATATTATTATTTTAATTAATCATCATTATCATTATGTTTGCCAAACGGATGTTTCATTGTAATTCTTAAATTTGATAAGATGTTGTTGTTGGTTTATAAGTACGGTAAACATGTTAAAAACTGAAGATAATGAAATAACGAAGAAAGAATGAATGAAAAAAAAGTGAGAGAATTGAAATTGTTTGTGTGTGTTTGTTTGATAATCAGTTATCTAGCGATAATAATATAGGCCAGAAATGCTTTGATGTTGTGGTTTCAATCTTTTTTTTTCTTCAATTATCTTTCTTTTCGGCTACAGCTGCCGTTGCTTTTTTCAAGAAAGGAATTCTAGTGAAAAAAAGAAAGAAAATTAATCAAATTAGGTTATGATGAAATGAAAATTTAGAAATACTTACTTTTCGGTAATTTCATTAATTTTTGAAACAACCATTGAAATATAATGATCAACTTGAGCTTGATTCATTTCATAAACTTTTGGTAATGAAAATGCACCAATATATGCCAATATGACCAATGTCATTCCATTAAACCATGATCCAATAAATGTTAATGCCCAAAACATAAACAAATACTATTGATGTGTGTGAATGAATAAAGAAAAAAATTATCAGATGAAACAATTTCCAAACAATCTTGCTAATAACAAACCTTGAATGATTCAACATAATCTTCAACCAACAGTACACTTCTCATACGATTAACAAAACAATTAAAATGGGACAATATTTGGTCAGCAATTTCATGAGCTCGTTCTTGGTTCGGTGTTAAATCTACTTCCAAATATTCTCTGCAAAAAAAGAAAAAAAAATTAAAAAACGTTAAAATATTTAAAAAAAAATTATAATTACTTGAATGGATGACCATCATCAGTTTTATTAACGGCTTGCATAACATTTTTATAAACTCTAAACGATAATGTTGCCAACAGTGTAAATAATAGTGTATAAGCAACAACCGATATGACCGAAAATATGGTCAATGAAAATAATATGACCAAACCGATACCAAAAACTGCTCCGGAATTTTTCGGATCACGCCAATATAAAATGTCTGCAGCTATAAAAATCAAACAGAGAAAAAAATTATTGATAATCAATCGATTAATCAGAAAAAAGATAAGATTCGTTTTTATCACTAAAGTAATACAAAATTGATAAAAATTTCATTAATCGTGTGCCCAAAGTGTGCATTAATCAATGGGAAAAAAACCCATTTCAAATCAAAAAAGCTAAATAAAATATGCTACATTGTGTTATCACCACCTTCAAAATTTAAAAAAAAAATTCCATCAAGTGAATCAAATTGGTCGCATATCGCGCCATCGACTATTTTGACTACTACTACCCTACTATATAGTCAGTTCCTGGATCATTGATCTTGACTATGTTTATTTGGTCAAAGGTTGAATGTTTTTTTCTACTTGAATCAGGGCGCTGGTTGTTTGTTATTTGTATTATATTATGATAATGATGATGATAGATTCAAGGTTCAATGACATAAATGATTCAAAAGAATGTTTCTTTCATTTTGTCAAGTATGAAACGCATGAAATAATGATGATGACGATTACGATGAAAATCATTACATAATAATTATCATTGAGGTGTAACAAAAACAAAAAAACGGGCGCAATCATCATTTATGATGAGAATCTTGTTTGTAAGTGTGTAATTTGTAATGTTTTGTAATTATAATATCTCAGAAAAATGTAATGTAGTTATGAGTAAAAGCTCGAAATCATTACAAACATAACCGATATTTATGGATAAGATGACCACAACAAACAGAGATAGGTGAACCAAAAAAAACCTCGAAATAGAAATTAAAAAACAAACAAACCTTTGATAAAAATTGTTCGAAATAATTTTACCAATGCTGATGATGATAATGAACAACATTTATTAGAACTGGTACTTGGTGATTCATTCATTTTTGATGAGAATTATTATGGTAAGAAATATATATCAGATCAGTGTATTTGAAAATGGAGAATATCAAAATGACAATATGTGTGTTTGCTGAAGAACTTCGAACTGAAGTGAAATGGAAATAAAAAAACAGAAATATCGAAAATGTGACCAACGAAAATCAATGATAAAATTGTAATTGATGATGTACTCAATTACAAAATAACAATGAAAATTAAAATGTATGTGTGCGTTTGTTAGTAAATATTTTTCTCGAAAAGTCGATATTTAGTTGTCAACTAAATAATGATGATATGATCAAAATCAAAAAAAAAAAATGTACAGACAAAACACACACACTTTTTGAATTATCATTCAATGATGACGACGACGACGTGTGTTGTCGAAGTTTGAAATGAAATGAATGTTTGAGTATTTTAACAACCACTGGTTGATGAATTTTATCTTCAAAAAAAAAGGATGAGGATGTTGTGTGTGTATGTTCTGAGTGTTAATAGAGATCGAAAGGGGTTCAAACAAACAAAAACAATGATTGTTCGATTTTTTTCGATTAAAAAAAACACAGCAAAACTTTCGTTTTTTAAATTATTATCCTTCAAGTTTAACTCTGACTGATGAAATGATGATGATGGTAATGATGTAAGTTTAAGAAGAAAATTGACAATGTTTTTTTCCTTATTGCCTAGTGGCTACGTTTGGTTGTCAAAATGAATGAACAAAAAGAAGGAATCAAAATTGAGGTAGAAGAAATGAGGAAAAATATTGTTGTTTTTTCGCCAATAACCAATCAATTTTTTTGAAAAAATCGAATTGAAATGGAGAAACGAGTATTGTGTGTGTGACAAACAATTGACAAATGGAATGACACAAAAACACAGTGTTATGATATGGTGGAATGATTTTTTTCAAAAAAAATTGTTTTCACCGAGACAAACAAAAATCAAAACAAAATCAATAATTTTGTTGATGAGATAAACGAGGTTATTGTTATTGTTTTGGTTTTTTTAAAAAATCTCATCAAAAATCGAAAACCAGGAAAAAAAATTCTATAAACAAAATTCAATGGAATCGAGAGGGTTTTTTTGGTATAAGTGAAAAAAAGAAAAACAAACATCGCAATTTAAGAGAAATGGCTACCGCTACTACTACTACGTATGAGGAGGAGGATAATGATGATGTTTTCAGTCAATTGGATTTTTAACCAGAAACACCAAAATAATAGAGTTTTTCTCTATTTTATTGTCCATTCAAACAAAACAAACGAAAAAAAAGGATGATGTGAAACATTTTTTTATTGTTTTGGTTTTGCTGCTACTTTTCAAACGGATGCCACTACCAGAAAAATAAAAACATCAAGGATGACTAACCAACCCAAACTTTAACTAACCAAAAAAACCAAATCAACATTGGCGACATATATTTCTCCCACCATATTTGTAATGATGATTCAACCTGAATTCTCTCCATCATCATTTCCAAAAAGAGAATAGAGGGTGTTGGTTGTAGTGGTTATTGGAACATGGATATTTTCTTCTTGCTGGATCGGTTGGCGCCTTTTTTTTTCTCTCTCTCTTTTGCATAATACCAGAAAAGCAAAACTCGAGAAACAACACAACAATATCCCTTAGCGACAATATTTCTTTTTTTAAACCAAGAAAAACAATAAACCAGAAAAAAAGCAGTGGCATATAAGGATGGTTGCTGCAGGATTCAATTGATGATGATGATCGGGTACCCACCACTATCATTACCCGAAATATACCAGGATAAAAACAAAAAAAGCCGATGACTCATATGTGTATTGAGTTTCAGGAACCATTCGATTTTTCGATCTACAGTAAGTTTTCCAAAATAAATAGATTCTATGGAAATTAAATAACCAAACATAACTCAGCTATAGCTAAATCAGATCAGATCAGCAAAATGTGACACATCATTTATCTTATGATGATCTATATTGGTTGCATTAAATTTCATTTGAAAAAATTTGTTTTTTTATGCCTAATCACAATGATGATAACGATGATTCAACGTAAAAATTTAGGTTCCGTCATTAAAAAAAAACATTCGAAATAGATTCAAACAACACTGCCATCTATTGATCAAAACAAGAATAAAATCGAATCGAATCGAAACTCAGAATAGAAAAATGAAAAAACAGCAACAACGGGAATTAACAACAGAATCAGAAAATGTTTTGCATAGAAAATTCTTTTTATAAAAATAGATTCAAATTAAAGCTAAGAAAGGAATTTTCGCTGTATGATTGCCAAGAAAACAAACCTAATAATAATGTTGAATGTGGAAAAAAATATTCAAAATATTTTTTTTCACAGTAATTTGCTTTCTTTGCATAACAAAACAATGACGACAAAAAAACAAATTTTCAAAACGACAAATGAGAAAAAATATGGAACGGAAATCGAAACAAAAGCGAAACGAAAAATTTTCCTTCGAAATAGCCAAGGAAAAAAGCAACTTTTTTCGATTGAAACACAAGCAAAAACGCGTGCGAGTGATAAAGATAACGACATTCAAAAAAAAGTGATAACAAAAAAAAAAATACATTTCGAATGTTTTGATAAACTTACATTCAATCATTTTTGTTGTTGATGGTGACATTGATTAGTTTGATTGATTGATTGATTGATAAAACAATGTTTTTTTCAAGAAAAGATTAATTATATGGAAACAACAACAAGGCACCGGTGTTAATTAACTTATGGAGAAAAACAGCCGGAAAAACAATTTAAAAGGTCTACAGGTATAAATCGCTTTTCTTTTCGTTTGAATTCCGGTGAAATAATTAAAAAACGAAACAAAATTAACAAATATGATGAGATCACAGCAACTAACAACTTTCAGAATAATTCCTTTCTCAAATGAAACCAAATGAAAAAAAACTGAACAGAATCAGAATCAGAACTAAAACAACAACATTTGCTTAAACCGCACCGCACACAGAAAACGAATCCACTCGAAAATAATCTTCTTTTTTTTAAACATTCGAATAGAGTCGGCGCTCCAAGTTGGAGTCATCATCGTCATCAAAAAAGAAGAAGAAATAGGTTAACTATCTTTTCTCTTCCCTTTCTATATTTATAGATATACAACAAAAAAAACGAAAAAATACAAACTCCAAACACTCAACGGGCAAAAAAAATGTAATGTTTTTTTGCTGTTTTGCTTATAGCTCCCAAGAGAAGCTGTTGCATTGTCATCATCATTATCAATTCTAACAGTATTTTTGTTTATATGATGATGACGGTGGTGGTAGGAGACTGACTGATTGAATTGAAAAGAATTCAAAAAGAATAACAATCATGTTAAGGCATAATATGTATTTGGATTCCAACCAGCAATTTTCAAATTTTTTTCTTTATATAAAGAATATTCTTTAAACTACTTACCACATGGTCCAAATAATGATTGAATAAAATTCTGTAGACAATCTGTATATCGGTTATACATTATCAATAATCGATAATGATCAATAGCCGGCAGTGTTTGATAAACATACACAGACAGACACAGAGATAATTAATCAATATGTACACGTACATAGGATGTGTAATGTACGTGTGTAATAATATTCAAGAAATTTAACGATGATGAAGAAGCCACGTGTTCGTGTGTTCGTGGTGTAAAACATGTGCAGAAAAAAAGGAAAAATGTTAATTAAAATTAGTGTTAATTAATTATAGTTAAAGTTAACTTTAAAAAAACAAACCTGGCTCCAAATTATTGGCTGCAGATGAATTATCAGATGAATATTGACGAAAATTTTTTCGGCCCATAATTTTTTGTTCGTTTTCAACAAGGATTTGTTGTTCTTTTTTCAATGATTTTTCTTGTTGTTTTTGTTTTTGTTCAAACACCGGTTCAATTGCTGGTGATTCTGATGATAATGATTCTTGAAATATTAATTCAGAAGAATCGGATTCTTGTTGTTCTGGTTGTTGTTGTTGTTTACAACTTTTTGCTGTTTCAATTTCTTTTTCTGGTTCAAAAGGATGATGATCATCAATATTTGCCGACAAGACGTTTGATGACGACAACAACAAAGACGACGATATCTGTTCTTCTGGTTCTAATTGTGGTGGTGGTGGTAGTTGTTCACTGAAAATTTCTTCTTCTTGTTGTTGTTGTTGTGGTTGTTCAAGACGATTTAAAGTAACTGGTTTTTCTTCAATAAAATCATCATCATCATCATCATCGATGATTTGGTCGTTTTTACTAATCGACGTAGTAGACGTAGACTTTGCTGATTTTTCAAAAATCTCTTTTGATTTTTCTACCTGCTTTTCATCATCAACATCATCAACATCATCGTCGTCAGCATTGTCCACGGAAGATAAGATTTTCGTTGTTGATGGTGCTGACGTGGGCAATAAAACACTGCTGCTGCTCACCGCCGATGTTTGTGATACTGCTGTTGATATTGCCTTTTCAACAGCAGCAGCTGCAACCAATGTTGATGTAGCCAAATGTTGTTGTTCATCGACCAAATTATCTGGCTTGTTTGCCATCGATGATGATGATGATGATAAGGTAGTAGAAGCATCACCGGACAGCAAATTATCATTATTATCAGGTAAAGGATTGAATGTAGTAGAAGCAGCACCAAAGTTATTTTCAACATTATCATCCATAGGAACAACTTGTTTTTCTGAAACTGAAATTTCATTCGAATCAACATTTGGATTATTTTCCGGCACTGGTTTTTGTTGTTGTTCCGAAGATTGCACTGTGTTTGAAGAAATTGTCGTTGCCATCGTATCAAATGGATCGACCAATTTTTCAACCAATTTTTCACCACTGTCAATCGTTTCATCAACAATTAAAGGTTCAACAAATTCAGTTCTAGAATCTTGTGGTATATCAACAATTTCAGAAACTTTAAATGTTGATGATAAATTCATTGAATCACCGGCCATTAATGAAGATTGATCGATTGAAGATTGAACCGGTAAAATTCTGGAATCTTCTGATTCTATAAATGAAGTAGCCACCGATGATGGTTGTTGCTGCTGTTGTTCCAAAATGTTTGAAGAACGATCTACTTCAATCGGTGGTATTATTTGTTGTTCGGTAATGTTGGTGGTGGCGGTGGTAGCTGGAAAATCCATATCAGCAACATTCGAATCATCGAATTTTTCAATAAATGACTTTTGTGACTCGTGAGATGAATCAGATGCTGATCCTTGAAATGTTTGTTGTTGTTGTTGTTCAACAACACTGGAATCCATTGAAACAACGCTATTATCAGTTTGATTTATCGATTTCGGTTGTAAATCCATTATTTCCGATGGTAATGATTCGGAGGCTATTTCAACTGAAGAAGAATTCATCATCATTATCGGCATTTGTTCATTTTGTAATTCATTCATCGAATCCAGATTATAATTATCCGATATTTGTGAATTGGACATTTCCAGAAGATCAAATTTTTCATCAAGTATATTTGTTATATCATCTTGGATTTCTAATGAATAATCGGCTTGTTGTTGTGATTTTTTCAAATCATTATCGTTAGATTTTTCTTCAAATAACACTGCTGCTGGATTCGTTTGTTTCAATTCTACGGGATCCAAAACTTTTGATTGATTTAATGTAAAATTTAAATCAACAAAATTATCAGAATGTTTTCCCGGTTCAATTAGATAATCGTCGGGATTTGGATCATCGGTAATTGTTGATTGTTGATTAGGATCATTTGTTGTTGATGATGATGACAAACTAACTTCATCAATAACATTAAGATTCATCACTTTTGCTTGGTTATCATTATCGATGAATTTTTCTTCTTGTTTTTTACCATCATTAATATTCATTATTGAAAAATTTGAATCCAATTCGAAAAAATTTGCGGATTCGCCAGGTTCGTTTGTTGATGAAGAACCGATATTTGTTGCTGGTGTTATTGCGGAAATATCAATGAGTTTTTCATTGATTTTTTCCGCTTCTTGGTGATCAGGTTCCATTGTTGTTGATATCTGTGAAATCAGAAAAATCAAAAAAACCAGAATCAGAATCAATTCAGCATCAGAATTTTTGTGAAAAGAAAATCCTACCTGCACTTAATCTCGTCGTAGAAAAAGGAAAATTTCTTCTTTTTGCTGTTGTTGCAATCGTTGATAAGAAAGCGGTATAAATGTCAAATCGTATTTACTTTTAGGATTTTTGTTTTTTGATTGAAAGTTTCTCCAAAATTGTTATCTGATGATTTATTAGTATGGTTTTCTTTTTTTATCGCTTTTCAAAACGGTATAATAAAAATGATTTTTGATTGATCTTTTTTCGTTGCTGAAAAAGAATGACTTGAGACTCTTTGGTTATTTCTATTTATATGCCAGCAGTTATGACAATCAAAAAATCGACTGATTGAATGACTGATTTGTCGTTTCTGAATCTAAAATCTGTACTTGTAAAGAAAAAACACCGAATATTAAATAACGGAAAATTAAAAGTAACATTTTTTGATTTTGTCAAACCTTTTTGTTTGATGATGATGACTTTACTTAAAACTGAAAAAATCAAAAATTGAAAAAGTCGAGCGTTGAGCGTGAGAATGATGATGATGATTTTCTATTCGAAATTAAAACCAATAATACACACACAGGCACAGCAAAAAAAAAAGCCAATAATCAATCAATCAATCGATTTTAAAAAAGAGATTTTTTTCAAAAATTTTTAAAATTTTTCAAAAAAAAAATTTGATGAGTGAAATGAGTTGGAAAAAAAAAGGCAACAAGAGAAACCAACACACAGAAGAGACACCGAATGAGTCATTCAGTGTTAGAAGAAAAATAATGATGAAAAATTTCGAATCACAACAATAATGTGACGCCGAAACAATATTGTCGATCGAGGAGAAATGAAAAAGGCGAAAAAAGGCAAAAAATGAAAAAGCTAACCAGTCTGTCGTCAGTCAGTTTTACTTTGTTTCGTTTTTTGTATTTCTAGCAGCCAGCACAAGTCAACCAGAAAAATATTGTTGTTGTTGATGAAATTGAATAGAGAATGAATTAGCTGAATGAATGATGAAATGTATTTCAAGTTTTTTCCAAATAGATTTTCTTTCTTAGTTTCTTTTGATTGCTTGCACTTAATGATCACTTCTTTTTCTTCACAGGATTTCTAAAATAGTGTTTCAGTGAAATAATAAATGGTTATTATTGTCGAACGACGACCAAGACTATCATTGTCTTTGTTTTTGTATTTGTGTGTGTGCCTATGATGATCAATTTCGAATAGCCAAAATGCAACAATAAACAACAATAACAACAACACGATTATACAGACAGTAAATATCACTCAAATTATAAATATCCGGATCCGTGGAAAACCGTATGGTGAATCATAAATGCCGCATTCTATATAGTTTTTCAGATCAGACCAGAATTCATCAACAAGGCGCGTCTATACAAAAATGAGAAATGTTTTTTGGAACCAAAACAACCCAAACAAACGAGCATGTGCCATGTGTCTGGACCAAAATATCTATCTGTCTGTCTGTCTGTCTGTTATATATATGATCAGAGTCGGTTGTGTGAATGGGGACCTGCCTTGTGTTGTTGTTATGGACAAAATCATATGGGAATCACAAAAAACAAAAAAAAAATCCTATGAATGTTTTTGATTCGATCCAAATTTACACAGGGAGAGAGAATTTGCCTATCTTTGATATTGGTCTGGGTTAATAATCGTGATTAAATCTAATAATAATAGATAATTTTGAATGAAATGAAAAATTCATGATTCATTCATTCATTCTTCATTAGGAAACGGTATTTTCGTTTTTTTGTTCTGATGAAAAATCCATTTTGATTTGCATTGGTATTACACACCTGAATGATTTATTTGGGAGGGTGGAAGGCATTCGGGATAAACTTATCAGTGGATAAACTTATTTGCTTTGTCCATTATGGTAATCGAAAAAAAAACAAAAACAAAAAAAATGGCTGGAAAAAAACGCGGATAAGAAAAAATTTGAATTTTTTTCGTTTTTGAACAAATTTGATCGCCATCTATTGGGATCCGATGAAAATAAAAAGATTTTTACAAATTTTAAAAAATTTTACAATTTTTTTTTATTATTAGGAAATATTTAATCGAGAAAAAAATTCATATTTTTTTTATTTCAAAAATAATTAAAAAATAATAATTATAATTATAATCATCATCACAGAATGTTAATTAAGTTAGTTATAGTTGAATCGATTTTAAAAATCATTTTTATAATTTTTTGTTTATGGAATAAATAATGAAAAAAACAAGGCAAATGATTTTTTTTTTTTGAAATGAAAAATGACATTGAAAATCAATGAATGAATGAATGTGGAATATTTAAGGGAAAAAATCAAGGGTTTTTTATACGAAGGAACGTAGGTAGAAAATCTATTCAAGTTTCCAATGAAAGAATTTCTTCTTCTTTTATCATTCTGTAGGCAGGTAGGTTGGCTTTGTTTTGTGTTTGTTGATTTTCAATCACTATTCACATTACCATTATTGGTAATAATTTTATTCGAAGTTTGTTGTTGTTGATGATTCGCACTTGATTGACCATTTATTAACGAAGATGTTGTTGTTGGCGCTGTTGGTGTTAATTGACCACTATTAACATTTTTTGTCATTTTTAAAAATGTCATAAATTGTTGAAACATTTGCTGTGTTTGTGGATCATTTTCAATATTATTTTGGCTGTTGTTGTTTAACGATAAGGGATTATCAAGGTTTTGCTGGGCGCCATTTGCTCCCTGTTTATCATTATGAATATTAACAATATCTGGTTGTTTGTTAGCATTGATGGCTTGTTTGTTGTTCATCGTTGGTGAACGTCCAACAATCCCCTGAATATCACGACTAACTTGTCCTAATGTTTCTTTAAGATAATCAACAACTGTAGTTTGATTATCTGAATATGATGCACGTTCATAAATCCGCGAGGCATAATTTGTCAGGAAATTCATTTCATTAACTAAATGTTGACATAAATCAAGTGATACTATTGGTAGGGGAGGAAAAGGGTGAAAAATGAGAAAATTTTCGTAAATATTTTTTTCGGAAAGTTTTTTTTGGAAAACTTACATGGAATTGATGATGGATTGGTCATGTATAAATCTAAACGATTATCAACATTATTGATTAATGCTGGATTTGGTACTACACTTGGTGGTGGTGGCCACATTTGTCCACTATGATTTCGTCGTCTCATCATTGTCGACGACAATGGAGATGACGATAATGGTACATCACGACCAATATTTGCCAGATTAAATTCACTTTTGGATGATCTCATTGATGTATCCATTGTTGACCATAAACGACGAGGACGTTGATGATGATGATGATGATGTGACATTATTGGTTGATGTGGATTTTGAATATAATGTTGATGTGGATGTTGTTGATTTAGATAAGGTGATGGATTTGGTGATGCTACAGCAGTCATCATCATCATTGGATTACCATTACCATTAACATTGGCCGAATTTGAACTACGACGAATTTGTTTTAAAATATTTGGTTTTGGTGGTGTAACTGGACGTGGTGGACGTAAAATTCGTCGTTCATCCGATGTTGAATTATTATCATCATCAGAATTGATTGCTGAACCACCATCATTTTCCATTTCTTCATCATCTTCAGTACTATCACCACGACGTGATGAACTAGCACATGATACGGTTGCAATTGATTTACGAAATTGTGATGGTGGTGCTGAACTACGACCAGAACGTGGATTTATCATTCCATTCGGTGTTGTTGCTGGTGGTGGTGGTTTCAGATGAACGGCTGAAGGGTTAACAACCGGTGTACCGGATGCCGGCGATTGATTTGTATTAACAGCAGAATTATTCCATAATCCAGGTTGTTGCTGTTGAGGTTGACGACAAAGTGTTGATTGTGAACGCATCATATCAACTTTATTCAATTGATTTGAACTTGGTGTTCGTGATAATGAACCTGTACCGTTTGTGGCTGATTGACCAACACGTCGTTGATCCCAAAGTGGTGCAAATTGATCTGTAAAAAAATGAATGGGAGAAAAAATGGAAAAAAATGAAATTTTTGAGAAAAAAAATCAAGTTTTCATAAAAATAGAAGTCATTTTTTTCAACCCAATTTCAATTCGGGATAAATTTTTGTTTTAAACTTTATATTTGGGTTAAGTAACGAAATAAAAGATAAAGTCACACACACAGTGTTAAAACAAGTGACAAGTTTAGTAAAGTTATTAAAAAATCTGATAACTATTTTTTTCCCATCTTGAATATGATCAGAAAAAGAGTTTCGGAAAATCCCAAAAACGAAATGGGAAACGTGAAAAAATGAAATGAAATATTCAAATAGGGAGAAATCAGAGTTAACTGCTGATTGGATTGATCGATTTACTGAACGACGATTTAATTATAGCATCATCAAATGCAAAATTAGCTTAAAAAATTAACATAAAAGTAGCATATGAGGGAGAAACTATGCCATCAAAAACTAAATGATATAAAGATGTTTAAACGATGAAACAAGAATGAAATTACATTTTTTTCCTATTTAACCCTTATATATCATTCTAACCATTTTTGGTAATAATGTTGTTGTTGTTGTTATTGAATAAAAATTCAATTGAAAATTACATTTCATCTTCATATCTCCCTACACTTCTTCATTTGATTTTTTTAAATTTTCATTGAAAAAATAACACTTGATGAACACAATGCAAAACACTTGATGAAAATAATTTCTATATTGAAATGTAATTTCCATGATGATGATGATCGATGACCTTTTTGAGCAACAACTAACAACCACAAAATAACTAAGGTTAATTACAAGGTTTGTAATCCAGAAAAAAATTCATTATTTTTTAATCATCTGACAACTTTGTTTTTGAAATTGATGATTGGTGAACAGAAAAATCATGACAGTTTTTGTTTTCAATTCATTTTATTAATTAAAATGAAAATTTTTTTGATCTAATAATTTTAAAAACTGGACAAACAAAAATTTCAAACGGAAAAATTCCATCAAAATGAAGAAAATCTAAATTTACGAAGAAATCAACGAATTTCATTTGAAATCAAAATCATCATGAAAAATAAATCAAGAAGCAACAAAGGATAACTTGATTCGAGATTGAAAATCTACTGAGATAACCAATAATTAAATGATTTTCGATCAATCAATCAATGGTCTATGATTATTATTGTCTAATCAATAACTTGACTAACAAAAAGGGGGATAATCGTTGTTGTTGTTTTTAGTTACCTAATTTGTTTGTTTGTTTGTTTGTTTGTCTGGGATTCACTCTGTTGTTGTCAGATATATACGTGGATGATAAGCAAAGGGAAAATCAAATAGTTTATTTATGCAAATCTATCATCGTAATCATCGATTTTTTCTGATAAAAAAAAATAAATGAGATCAATGTGGAGACGAGGATGATTAAAAACTTTGAAATGTCAGACATTTTTCGGGTGATTATGATGATAGTGACCAGTTGTTTGATCATTTAAGATGAATTTTTTCGTTTTCTTTTGAAAGAAGTTTGTCAGCAACAAACATCAAAATCAAATCAAACACATAAACGAAACAGGAAAATTTCCCGGAAAATTTTCCAACAAACAAAACACCATCATTACAACAATAACCACACAACAAACAAACAAACAATAAAAAAAAGGATGCAACAAAAAAAAATCACATTAAATCACCATATGTGTGGTTTTGTCAGCACTTGGCCAAACATTTCAAAAATGAAAAATCCATTTTGGATGTATGTATTCGATGCTTCCTACAGAGATATCAAATAACAACATCAAACAACATATGGTTGATATGGTTAAACATCACATATTATCATCACATGAAAATTCTAACTTTGAAAACGAAAACAAACTGGATCAATTTTGATCAAAAAATCCTTTTTTAACAGAGAAAAAAAAACAATGAACTAAATGCAATTTGAAAAAACAAAAACAAAACTACAAAGATAGATGAATTTGTCAAGAGGAAAACAAGTATTGGATGAAAACAATTGAAAAAACTTGGTTAGAAAGTTTTGTTTTGAATTAGTTTTTTTTGCTATAGCAATAAAAATCTAATAGAGAAAAAAAATTATTAGGAACCTGGCACATGCGGAACGATATTTTTGCTTTTTTGATCTGCTAAAACGAATTATTCAAAATGAATGATAACCATGGCCATAAGAGATTTTATTAGATTTCTACAATGATGATGATGGCCATAATGTGAAAAAAATTCAATCAAAACAAAACGAAACGAAAATCTCGACAACTTTTTGTCCATTGACTTGACTTGATTTTTACTTACAATTATTCATTGATGTTTGTGCAGTTTGTTGATTATTGACACGATATATACTCAATTTTCTTGGTAATGTACAAGATGAATGATGTGATAAATCACTTAATGAAATTGATTTACGAAATGCATCGACAGCTATTTGATTGGAAAACGAAATTGATTGAATTTTTTGATCGATCAGAAATTGATTGATTTGATTGCAAAAAATGATTACTTACATAAACTATGATAGGAATTATTTTGACCATCATCATCATCATCATTATCATAATCATCATCACCACTAGTTAAATCAATACGACGATTTCTATGACGAATATTACGATGTGAATATTGTTGCTGTTGTTGTTGTTGTTGATTATCCGATTCTGTTGTTGAAAATAATGTTGATTGACGAAGATTTATAACCGATCTTGAATTGGTCATCAATGATGATGATGATGTTGGTGTTGTTGATGAACCAACCTACATTCACATAACGAAACGAATAAAAAACATTAATTTAGCAAATGATTGATTGGAAAGTCAGATTGAAAATGACGATGAACTCGATGAACTGAACAATGATTTATTCTGATTACAAAAATCAAACAATCACACACACACAAAAAGATTATTAATAAGCTTTATTTCTCTAATGATTCTGATCAATCAATCAATTCATAACTGAACAAAATATCATAAAGTTAATCAATGTGGAATGAAATGAATGTGATCAACTTACATACAATACTTGCACACTGGAATTTGATATTTCAATGATTAGCAAATAATGTTGTTTGATTAATTTTTACACCCAATTACTAATGATGATGATGATCATAAAACATGCACATTCACATACGCATAGAGAGTGAGATAGATAGAAGAAAAGATATACAGACGATATATCCTTTGTATAATGTCAATATTTTGAACAGAAAAAATGAAAATTTCAAATTTTTATCGCAATCAATCGATCGATGATGACGAACTGAAATAACTAAAACAACACGACTAAATACAACAAGCGAACAATAAACGAATCGAAGCAATCTCTATCTGAACGATTGAAAAAAAACGATCCAAACAACGAATTGAATTGTCGCGTAGTTGTTTTTTTCATTTCAATCAATGAACGAAACATGCAAGGAGTAATGGTTTATTCACAGATGATACTCAGTGTTTTGGAAGTCTCTCTCATTTCGATGATCATCATCATTAGTTAACAGTAGTAGTAGTTATATGGCATATGGCGCCCGAACCTCCTTTTCTCCATCTCTTTCTTTTCTTCTAACTAGCTTTTTTTACCTGTGTAAAGAGCTTGATTGCAATGAAATTGTTGCATTCAGTGTCTGTATGTGTCATGCTTTACCTGTTGCTTCTAGCAAATTGATCAATGATATTTTAATGGGAGAAAAGAAAACTTTAGAGAAAAAAAAGAAGTCCATTAAGAAATCCAAAAAAAAACGAAAAAACTCAATAAAGAAATAACTTGTTTTTGCTGCTGAGTTTCGTATTCAGCTTTTTTTTTTGACAATAGAAAAACTCTCAAATCGTTTTTTATTGTAAAGTGAAAAAAAAGGTCAAAGCAAAAAGCAGAAAAATCACACTGAATGTTAATGAACAACATTAGTTTCAACAACAGCAAAAAAAGTCCTGTTATTATCATTATCATCATTAAGGAATAATGAATAAATTCTACTCGTAAGGTAAAGGTGTTGCACCAAACAACACTAACTAGAGTTGTCCAGTTTTTGAAAAAAAAATCATAAATATTTTCATCATTATCATTTATAACATTACAATCACACACACACGATAAGATCATCATCATCATTATTATTATCAAACATGAGAAGAGTACATGAAGCTTGACATAAGATTATCATTGTTGTTGTTGTTGTATTTTTATTTTTAGGGAGCCAACAAACAACAACAACAACAAACTAGCCAATATGGTGGATAATCATATCATTGGAAACATGAATGAATGAAAAAAAATGAACTTACCGATTGTAATCTACGTTTAACTTCGCTTAATGTTTTTGATAATTCTTCACGTTTTTTCGATATAAATGTTGGTTGTTGTGTCGTTGCTGACGTCGTTGTTGGTGTTGATTTGGCATTGTCTTTACTGATGGTGGTGATGGTATCGACCGTTGCTGACGTTACGCTTGATGAATTATTATTGATCTTGGACGAATCCGATAAGTTTTTACCGCCGTCGCCATTTTCCTTATTAGTCAAAGTTGATGATGATGATGATTGTTGTTGTTGTTGTTCATTTATTGTATCCAATATGGGAAATTTTGTTGAATCATTTTCATTATTGGTTGCTGTTAACCCTTCAGGAGATAATGATGATGATGATCTTTGATCTGGATTAATATCAGTAATATCACTTAATGTAGCGTCATCTGTTATTGTTTCATTACAATCTTTACTATCATTTGTCGTCGATGGTGGTGATTCGATTATTTTATTATTCGTCGATGTTGTTGATGATCTTGATGAAAGACTATGACGTATATTTGGCTGTGGTGGTGATAATGAATTCTGATTCTGTTGATTAACCAATGTACTATTACTACTCAGACTGCTATGATTATCAATTTGATTAATACCCGAATCATCTGAATTATTATCATTATTAATATTATTTTTATCTAAATTTTCAAAAACATTTTTTAAATAACGATTTCTTTGATCAATTTTTTCTAAATTTTCTTGACTTATATATAGGGAATTATATTGATTTTTTATATTCATTTCGTTTGATAATTGATTATCATCATCATCATCATCATATGGTATATTTGCCATCGATATTGATGATACCATTGATGATGAATAGTGATCATTTGGATTTTTCTCTAATAATAATCTTGAAGAACCACGATAATGATGATCATTGGTTATAATTTTATTTACTTTATATGATGAATCATTTGTATTATCAGAATCGGTTGTATTATCATCATCTTCATCAACCCCGCTTGACATTGATGATTTTGTTCTTGGATTATCTCTGCTAGTAATATTGATCATACTAAGACGATTATTATTTTGTTGTTGTTGTCTATTCAGTGAATCTTTAAACGATGGTGAACCAATACCAGATGGTGTTGTTGGTTGACTACGTGATGATGCTAATGCTTCAAAATTTGTTGCATATGCTTTGACTAGACCGGGATTCATTTCATTACCATTTTCTTCCATAAATCGATGTGCCCAACGTCCACGTGGTAATGTTTTTGAAAATTCTTTTGTTTCAGAATTCGATGGTGAATATTTATCTTGTTGTTGTTGTCTATCTTCAAACATTTGTTTTCGTACCCATTTCGGTAATGTTGATACATCCAAACGATTCAGAATACCATCTTGGTCATTATGAATTGAAGAAGGAATATTCAGTGAACGATTTGTTAACATTGTTGTATGACATGAATCAGATATTAATGGTAAACCCAATTTTGATGCAATTGCATTAGTCATTTCGATTGGCAAACGCCATATAAATATACAACCATCACCTGATACAGAAATCAAATGTCGTCCATCCAATGAAAATTTTAATCCAGTTACTATTTCGGAATGACCACTTGTTGTTGCCAAACATTCACCCGATTGATAATCATAAATATAAATACTTTTATCTGTACATGATGTAGCCAGAAAAGTATTACTTGGATCAAAAGCAATCTTGATTAATGCACCATCTTCACTCAGTGATCCTTTAAAATTATTTAGATTTTTACCCGTCCAAACATCATATGTACGAATCAAACGATCTTGTGATGCAGTAACAATATGATTTTTTTTCTGATCAACAGCCATATCAAAAAATGTACATTTTCCAGCCACCTGATGTTCCAGACGAAAATCCGAATCCGGATCTGTTTGTCGACGAAATATTAACGATTTATCGGCACCACAACTGATTAATTTCAAATTCAATGAATTCGGTTGTTTACAACAAACAAATTTTACTGATGTAATCGATGATGAATGATCATCAATATTTTGTATACATGAATATTGTCGATGTACATCATAAATATGTATGAAACGATCACGACTTGCTGATACTAGCAATGCTCGTCCACATTGTTGTTCATTTGAATATTCCAAACACAAAACTTCACCATCATGTGCTTCAATTTTAAACAAATCTTTTTGCATTTCTAAATCAAATATACGAATATTTCCACAACGATCACCTGATGCTAAATGTTTTCCATCATTTGAAAATTTTATGGCACGTATTCCATTTTTACTATCATATTGATCGGTATTTCCATTAGTTGAGTTTGTTGTTGTTGTCGTCGTCGATTTTGTTGTTGACGGTGGTGGAACCAGATCCTGATCACATAAATACATTAAATCCGGATCCATATACAGAATTTTCATCAATTCTGGACTGAAAAAATTTTTCTTATAAATATAATTCGCTGATGATGCTACTGTGGATTTCATATCCAATTCAATATTCCATAAACGTATTGTATCATCACTTGAACAGGTAAGAAATGTACCTGGTGGTAATAAGGGCCGATTGTTTTTCGAATTATTATATGGATATACCTGTGTGAAACAAGAAAAAAAAATTCCATTAAAAAATTAATCAAAAATAAGCAAAAAAAATCAAATACAAACATCAATATCCCATATACAACTAGAATGATACAAAAATGAATTTAATTTTCCAATTCTTTTCATATCATTGAATGACCAAAAATATATACTACGATCCGAATAAATAGCTGTAACAATTTTATTTAAATCATCCAAAACAATGGCAATTGTATCCGGATATTTTGGCATTGATTTTATCATCAACATTGTTTTGGCCGATTCATTTCTTGATGATTGAAAATTTTTCGCAATATCAATACCCAATTGATGTGGTCGTGGTAATGATGTTACAAATTCTAATGTTTGTGGACGAAAACAACGAATAATACCTTGTGAACAACCAACACAGATTAAATTTTGACTTAGAGTTATACAATTGGCAGATTCAGTCTGTTGATAAAAAGTGAGAATTAGTTTTTTACGGAAAAAATCTTTGAACAAAAAACTTACTCTAAGCTCGACCCATTTATTCAATAAACGACGATTATTAAATTCACAAAGTAGACCAGATTTAGTTATGGCATATGTTGATTCACTACCGTTACCACCGCTGCTACCACGACGATCACAAGCAACATCACAAAAATAATTGTTACGTTGATCACCCAAAATGGCATTTCTACCCATCAACGGTAATGATTCAAATTTATTTTTTAGTTTATTTTGATTATTGGCATTGGTAGTATCATTATGATAATCAAGATACCAAAATTTTACATGACGATTACCAACAGTAACAAAATATTGACCATTTTCAGCAAATGATATTGATTTTATTTTCACTGAAATTTTATTTGATGCAACAATATGATTTTGACGCCAATCCCAAACATTAACCATCATATCATGTTGTGAACCAATCGAAACAACATATTTTCCATCAGGTGAAAATGCCTAAGATATTTACAGATAGAGAGAGAGAGAGAGAGAGAGAGAAAGTAAATGAAAAAAGATTATTCAAATGAATTTGCAAATTGTTCAATTAAAAAAAAGATTTTCACTTAATTAACATTCATCTATCTCGCTGACATTCATTTTAATCTTGAAAATCAGGTTTTTATTTCTTACATAAGTCTATCATCATCAACATTGAATATTTGAAATGTCATATTAATTGAAATGTCAGAAGAAAATTTGATGTGAATTTTTTGAAAAAACAAACATCATTTTGGCCAATTCAGTTTGCCATTTCAATTAAATCATCATCACCATATTCAAAAATGATGATGATGATAAGGATCAAGCAAAAGTTACAAGTTATCATTTAAAAAAGAAATTAAATTTGACAAAAAAAAGTCACACAATTCCGCAAGCTATTTTAGGTAAACTTATTATACTGATTGACAAATTTTGAAAGAAAAAAATCCAATTCAAATCAATCAATTTCAGTAATCGATCGGTGACAATTGTTCATATCGATCGATCGATCGTAAAAAATCAATCAATTTTCAAGATATGATTGTGTTCGGTTTGGTTTGCTATTTTTTTCTGTTCTGTTTATGGTGAACTATTGAATTTGAAAATGATGGAAAAAACATTCTTAAAATAGCCATGAATGAATGAATGAATGAAAAAACTAAATTGAAAAAAAACATCCTGAGTATGTTTTTTTTCCAGGTCGATCTACATTGGAAAAAAACAATGTATATTTGAATAGGGAAAAAAAGCCATTAAAATTGTGAGAAGACAATCAAGAATGAATGAATGAATGAATGAATGAACCAGATCAGAAATGAACGAATGAACAACAACCAGAAAGAAAGGAAAAAAAAATCATATTTGGCGCCGGTCAATAAAAGATGATGATGATGATGAGGAAAGTAAATATTTGATGAACTGAACCAAGAGTATAGGTTTTTTCTGTTTGTCTGTGTATAGTTATTATCACTGTATAAATGTGTAATCAACAAACGAAAAAATATTTGAAAAACTGAGATAAGGTCGTCCATAAAATTGGGGGGGGAAATATATATTGAACAATTGAACAATTCAAATAGAAAAAATAAATGGAACACATATATATTCACAACAATAATAACCCTTGATTTACAACCAGCGGTGAATATTATCCAATATTATAAAGTAACAATGGAAAGAAAAGGTAAATCATTTTCATTGTAGGTAAGAAAAAAGGTAAATTTCTTCCAGCTTTTTTCTCCCTTATTTATTCATTCATAAGAGCATTATTTATCAAAGGAGGTGAAAAAAAAGGTGATCATCATCATTTTGAATCATAAAAAACAATGATGTTTTATGAAACAAATTTACCTGGAAAAAAACGAAAAAACAATAGCATCCATTTGAATGTGTGATGTGCAAACGAAATTTTGAAATAAAAAATTATATTATGTTCAGCCATAAACAACCCTTCGCGCACCTGAAACATTCATCATCATCTTGATTAACCCAGAAAAAAAACAACAACGAAAATCTTTCATGTTTTTTTCTTTTCGCCATCTCATCATTCATTCATTTCATTTCATTTCATCAAATCAAGATTTGAAGAAAGAAAATTTGAAATTGATTAAATGTTATTTTATTCATATCATCATCAACATCATCAAAAATTCAAACATAATTCGTGGCTATCTATTTATTCATTCATTCATACATAGAGTTTGATAATCATACAGGTGAAAATCTTCTCATCATTATCAATCAATCTGTTTAGTTTTTCTTTTGTCACGATTTATACGAATGATTTTTTTTGTTTTGTTTTGGTTTATCAGATTGAATAAAATATCTAATTTGATCAATTTCATTCATTCATTCTTCTTAATCGTAGATCTTAATCTTATCGATTTGTTTTTGTTGTTGCAGTATTTTTGAAATTGTGTGAAAAAAAAACAACAACATTAATTCCAAATAAAATATTCACATCATCATCATCATTAGAAACGCACGAATTATGCAAACGAAATTTAAAAAAATAATGAATAAAAGATTTGATCAATTTTTATATATAGTTGAGTGAGGTTAGGTTGATCACTATGCCAGTGATTCATAGTTCAGTGAGGTTAGGTTGTTGACTATGACTATGACCATGATTCATAGTTGAGTGAGGTTAGGTTGATGACCATGACTGTGATTCATAGTTGAGTGAGGTTAGGTTGATGACCATGACTATGCGACACTAAGTATCAACAGTGAGGTTAGGTTGATGACTATGACTATGACTGTGATTGATAGTTGAGTGAGGTTAGGTTGCTGACTATGACTGTGATTCATAGTTGAGTGAGGTTAGGTTGATGACTATGACCATGACTATGCCTGTGATTCATAGTTGAGTGAGGTTAGGTTGATGGCCATGACTATGCCTGTGATTCATAGTTGAGTGAGGTTACTTTGATGACTTTTACTATGATTATTATTTTTTTCTCATTTTATTTTTTTACCAATAAATTCAAGTCAAAATGGGTTACCCGATCAATCAAAATACGATAAATGTTTTTTTTTTCTTCACATAAATACCAATTTGGTGGTGACAAGATTTTTTTCTTTCAACACAACATAGAATCAAACACCTATTAATCGACACCTTTTCAAATTGAACCTCACCTTTTTCAAATCAATCAATGTCATTTTAAAATTGACTGACATGGTTGAACATTTTTTTTATTGAGAACAAAAAACCAAAAGAAAAAATCAAGGTAAAAGAAAACAGCTAAAATTGACAACCATATGATAATTAACCGTTATCATCATCAAGAAAAAAAAGGCTTGACAGCTTGATGATGATTGTGCTTAGAAGCCATCATCATCATCGGTTCAATTACAACCATTCCATTCAAAGGATATTCTTCTTTCAAAGACAAAAAGTTTGAGATGTACAGTTTTTCGCCAAAAAAAAATTGCTGTTGTCTTAGTCAACTTACATAACGGCCAGAAAAAAATAGAACTGCAAACCAAACAGGTAAAACAGATATTTAACACAAATGGGTCAACAATAACTGACCACCTTGGTTGGTCAGTTGTTGTTGTGATAAAACAATCAAATGGGGAATGGAATGAGAGAAAATCCAAAAAAAACCAGTCTTTTGAAAGAAGAATGAAATTATGGCCATCATAATAATCAAAAAATGAATGAAAATTCTCTACTAACTTAATAATAATATCGGTTTTTTTGATGAATTCAATTTAGAAATGAAAAATTGATTTCTTTTGAAATGATAAGAAGTGATTCAAATGTGAATGGCAACGATAACAATGACAATGAAAAAGAAGAAGATTTTCATTCAAAATTTCAATGTCAAAACTAACTAATAATTTCTATTTGATTTGACTGGACTATCAATGCATATTCATCTAAGGATATAATTTGATTGAAAGTTTTTGATTTTGATAGGATACATACCACACAATTGATACCATATTTATGGCCAGATAAACAAGCAACTTGTTCACCAGTTGATATTTCCCAAATTCTACATTGTGGTTGATGGCCACACTGGTATTCGATGAATGGATAAATAAAAAAAAATGGATAACCGTTGATTAAACAAGAAGGAAATTTTCAGCAAAAAAAAATCATTGATCTTACCTCACCGGTAACAATATATTTACCATCTTTTGAAAATTTACAACATGTTATTGGTTTTTTCAATGAATTTATTATATGAAATTGTTTATTTTTACGTTGATTATATAAAACCAATACACAGCTGTCCAAATGAAAAAACCGGGAAAAATTAGAAAAATCAAAAAATCAGCAGATCAAAAATCAATTTGCAATAAAACAAACTTACCCAGATGTATAAACAACCGTTCCGGAATAAAAATCACAATCCAATGAGGCATTATTTGAAACGGTCAAACCAATGACACGATCAAGTTTGACCTAGAAAAAATTGATAGCAAAAAACGAAAAACATTTTAGAAATTTGATTATCACATTCATGAATTGATGATGATTGAATGCTAAATTTAGCATGATGAATTAAGCATCGATCATTGGAATTGTTGGCGATCCGCATCAACATTTTTTTTTGTTACATAATTTTTTTCATTTACATATCTGTTTCTGTTTAGCAACCATTTTAGAAAAAAAAATGATAATTTTCAACTCAATCCATCATCTTTTCTACTGGCTGACAGTGATTTAGATTCTTGATTTGATTTGAATTGAAAGAAAATTCAAGGTGTTGGTTAACTGATGATGAGCAAAATTTCATTCATAAAATTCATTTCAAATCATTCAAAAGTCAAATCATCATCATCATCATTATAATTAGATGCAAAGATGTTCATCATTTATGTAATTTAGAAAAAGAAAAAAAAACTGATTATAATCTGGCTAAACTTTTGGATAAGTGGGAAGTGATTGGACGGAAAAAAAATCGAAGAAAACATTTTTACAAATTACAATAAACTTTTTTTCAAAACAAGAAAATCAGCAAAAATCCAATCAAAAAATCCAAACAAATCAAAGTTTCATTTCCAGGTTTGTTTTGTCTTCAGTTTCGACAATCATCATTTTTCTTTCATTCAAAGAAAAAAAGAAATTTTCTGTTGTTGTTTACTAAATGGAATAGAATCCAATTATGGTTATGGACAAATTATCAATTGATAAATACTAGATACTTTTCGTAATGTAATTTTTGCCCTGGAAGACGGGTTAAAATGAACAATTTTAAAAAGTTTCCGAAAAAGAAATATTTTGGTAAATGCCTTGAGGGTGCAAAAAAAAAATTGATTTTTGAAATGAAAAAATCTTCTTGATCAATCGATATTGAAAATCTTAGTCTGGTCAATCTAAAAATCTTTACGGAAGTGTATTTTTTAACCGGAAAATTTCCGGGAATAAAAAACAGAATAAAATCATTTAATTAGCAATTTAATCTAGCAAAATTCCAAAGAAAATCAATTTAAAACCGAATAAAGTCTAAAGGTATTTTCTCTCTATCAAAGTCTAAAAACAACAGAAAAGAATCCCCCAAAAAAAAATCAAAAATTAAATTGGCAAACATCATCAAGATGATGAGGATAATCATGATGCTAATAATAATTTCTTCTTGTTGTTGTTTCCGAAAGATTTTAATAATAATCAACCGAAGAAAAAAAAGATCCTTAAAGAGACTTTCATCATAATCATCATTCTCATTAAATGATGATAATCATCATTATTGAAAGATATGAAGAAAATAAATTGATCATCATCAAGATGATGATCTTGATTTTTGTTGTTGTTAAAAAAAACAAATTAACCATTCAGCCGACCAAGAAAAAAAAACATCCATATTTTTTCAAAGAGATATGAATGAATGAATGAATGAAATAAGGTTGAGAGAGAGAGAGAAATGGATTAATTATCACAAGCAAAGAGGAAAACAAGGAGATGGAGGGAGAGGGATAATTGTTCATCATCATATGGCCCATAGTTCAAAATTGATGAACATTTTTGTTTCTTGTTTGGCAAAAATATTATGACCATCATCATTTTTTTTGGTCATCACATTACCTATGTAGAAGTATGCCTGAGATGCTATTTGGTGTGTAGTAAAACACCAAACAAAAATGGATGATAAACTCAGGTATTATGTTTGATGATGCAAATTATTAGTGTTTTTGAATATTTTAAAAGATTACAATCAAATCAACAACAACAATCGTTAAAAAAGCACCAAAAAAACAAAGAAGAATTGAATGAACCCATTACACATTAAAAAAAATACCTGTAATAATCATTTGGTGAATGAACAACAATGATGAAAAACATTAATGAAATTAGGCCAAAATAATGGTCAAACAGAAAAAATATTTCATTTTTTTCTACATTAAACAGATTAATCTCTCTCTCTCAAAGTCGAGATTTTTTTCGTCCAAAATCATCAAAAGGCAATGGAAATTTGGAAAAATGTAATCCGAAAAAAAAGAAACAAAACAAACAGAGAAATTTTTTTTGGGAAAAAAAGTTTCCGGTGTCAAAAATGGAAACAAAACACGCAAACAAAAAAATGATGATTTTTTTTAGGTGTGAATCATGTCATAAATGACTATTTAGAGTTTCTTTTTTGGTTGTTGTTGTTGTCAAATTTTCAAACATTTTTAGGAAAAACATACACACACACACGCACAACAAAACAACAAACAAAAAGCAGAAAAAATACTTCAATAATTTAACTTTTGATTATGATGATGATCAAAAGAAACAAAAATGTACAACATACACACACCCGGGCGTTTTCTTCATTCAATTTGATTATCAAAAAAAAAGAATTTTCGCAATGGAAAAACTAAAAAAGAGGGGATTATTGTATAACTTGGATGGAAAAAATCTTTGAATTTGGATCAAGAAAAAAAGGGGAAAAAAATCCGATCAATTTGATCATCAGTTGAAATGTTTATCAATCAAAAATCCTAGAGAAAAAGCTCAATCGATTATCTGATTCTAATCAAATCAAACATCATCGACATCATTCGACAAAATCTTATCCATCAAAAACAACAGTAAAATCCTCATTTTACCATACTTAGACATTTATTAATTAGATTAAATGAGGCACACAGAGAAAAAAACAGAGAAAATCCTTTTGGGAAAAAAGAAAAGAAAATCTTTTGTTTCACAAAAACGCTCAAGTCAAATACAAAAGTCACGAGTCAAATGATGATTCTTAAATCCTGTGTGTGTGTGAACGGAACTTGAAATGTCAATGTTATGTGTGTTGTGTGTGTGAGAAAAATGAATATTTTTTTCGGTCAAATCTTGAATGAAGTAGAAACAAAAAAATCTCGTAAAATTTTTCAAAAAGTAAATTTTTTTTTCATCTTCTTTGTCGCACACCAAACATTGAATGAAACATCCATGAAAAAACAAACTCACGACATTTTTGTTTTCGGTTGATTTATGTTGATAAAATCAAAAAACAAACAGATACAGCAGACCATAAAGTATCCAAGGATATAAAAAAACCCATTTGTTTCCCACACACACACACACACAACCAGTGTTTGGCTAATAATCAATCCTTGTAAACAAACAAAAACAGAAAACCTCGAAACAAACAAAAACAAAAAAACCAGATGTTTTCTTTCATTCTGATATTGATGCGGCGGATGTTTATTTGTAGCGTTCGAAAAAAGCTAAATCCTACCTCTGGATATTTAATAAAACTATTAAATTGTAGACTACCAAAACCATTTGAACCACCAACATTATTTGATCCACAATTTGACCCTGTTTGATTGTTGTTGTTGTTGTTGTTAATATTGACCACTTCACTGTCCATCTTTGCTGTTGTAGGTTATATGATGGTTTTCTTCAACAATGATGATGATTAGTCGGACAATAAATTTACAGAAACCGAGAAAAAAAAATTGATTGTCATTGATTTTTTTTTCCGAAAAAGAATCTCTTCAGGTAGAAAGATTATTGATTGAATCACGATTTTTCTTTTGCTTTTCTTTGATTGCTGTTTTCGTTAATCAAGTATTCAACGAAAAGAAACTTTAGTGATTTTGATGATGACCAATGTTGTTTGTAAAATTAATGTTATTCGGTTGTTGTTGAAGATGATAATGATGATGATTATGGCAAGAATTCAGATAACCAAAATGATAATAATTCAAACACGATTCACGAAACGAAACGAAAAAAAAAATCACATCCGAAATGATTTCTTTTCAAACAAGCAAGCAATCAAAAAAGTGATGAAATGATCATTTCCAGAAATCAAAAATCAATCTTTATTTTTGCTGTTTGCTCTTAGCAAAATATCAATTCAAACTGGGAATAAGCATCTTCAGATTTAGCAAAGAATGTAGGTGGTGGTTATTATTTTTCTAAAAAAAATTTTAAATTTTGATGGCTGCCGTTATTATGAGATGTGCTACCAGATTCAGATCAAAATTCTCAGGGTTAATTTTTGTTTCATTGTTGCTGTTGTTTTGGTTGTTGTTGTTGATATCATTGTTGTTGATAATTATCACGAAAACAAAAAGAAATCAAAACATAAAAAATGTGTGACAAAATGAAATTATCACGCAAACACACACAAGGTTGGATCATAATCATCGGATGGATCCTTCTTTTAACTTTTTTTTGGGTTCAGTGCAATGATCCAAATGATATTCCGGACGTCGACCAGAATAAATTTTTTTTCTGGTTTAACTAAACACACAGATTTTNCAACGAAAAGAAACTTTAGTGATTTTGATGATGACCAATGTTGTTGTTTGGAAAATTAATGTTATTCGGTTGTTGTTGTTGTTGAAGATGATAATGATGATTATGGCGAGAATTCAGATTGAACAAAATAATAATTCAAACACGATTCACGAAATGAAAAAATCACATCCGAAATGATTTCTTTTCAAACAAGCAAGCAATCAAAATAGTGATGAAATGATCATTTTCAGAAATCAAAAATCAATCTTTGTTGTTTGCTGTTGGCCAAATATCAATTCAAACTAGGAATAACATATCTTCAGATTTAGCAAAGAATGTAGGTGGTGGTTATTATTAAAAAAAAAAAATTTTAAATTTTGATGGCTGCCGTTATGATGAGATGTGCTACCAGATTCAGATCAAGATTCTCAGGGTTAATTTTTGTTTCATTGTTGTTGTTGTTGTTGTTGATGGTATCAATGTTGCTGTTGTTGTTTTGGTAGAACAACACTGATAATTATCACGAAAACAAAAAGAAAATCAAAACATAAAAAATGTGTGACAAAATGAAATTATCACGCAAACACACACATTTGTAAGGTTGGATCATCATCGGATCTTTTTTTAACATTTTTTTGGGTTCAGTGCAATGATCCAAATGATATTCCGGGCGTCGACCAGAATAAACGGTAAATTTTTTTCTGGTTTAACTAAACACACACAGATTTTTACTTCACCAAAACACACACTGAACACTGAACATGAAAAGATCGATAAACTTTGAAATTGACAATGATTTTTTTCATTTGTTGTTTTCGTTGCTGATGTTGATTAATTCATCGTTTTGTTATATAACAAGGGTATAATGATGATGATTACAAGTCAAAAATCAAAGTGAATGTGCTTTGATCATTGATCAACAACCACACAACAACGACGACAAAGACCGACGAATATATAGAAAGAATTCATTGGAAATTTTTCGGAAATTTTCCATTTATTTTTCTCGGGAAAATTAATCCGATTTCATTTCATTTCATTTGATTTTTTGATTGAAATGAAATAAAATCATCAAATTGGTAATTGGATAATTCAATCCGATATCGAAAAACAAAAACAAAAAATGTCATTTTCTTTCTTTCTGATGTTAACATCTGGTTGATTGGTTGTCACTAAATGATCGTATTAGGTTGATGTTTTTCTTCCTAACCAATGTGTGTTCGGTATCACTTTTGGCTCGAGCAACGCTTAATCTAATCTAATCTAATTTAAATTGATCAGTAGAAGTGAGGTAAACCTGAAACTAGATTAGATTGGAAAATTATATGAATGAATGAATGAATGAAAACACAATTTCTATGGCAATGTTGTTTTGTTTATCATTTACGAAAACGTCAATCAAAATTAAATTATTAATATTAATAATAATCTTTCATTTGAAAGTTGGTTTTCTCGTTCTTCTTCATCATCTAAATGGATGTAGTAAATATCGTTGTAGATCAGAAATGATGATGACTTTTTTGACAGATTTATTATTACAAGCCAGGAACAAAAAAGGGAGTGTTTTCATTCATTTCAAACGATCATTTTACAAATACACGCTAAACAACCAAACAACATGAAAAATCAACTAATGTAGATTAATTATTAATGTAAATTACATATGATGATGATGATTTTCATCATCAAAATCATCAATGAAATTGATGAAACATTGGATTCATTTTTACAATTTAGTTTGGTAAAATTGAAAACAACAATACAATCAACAGCAATGGATGTTTAATGAAGAAAAGTAAAACAAACAAACAAACACACACAGGAAAATGACAATGGAATATGATATTTTTGTTGTTGTTGTTATGGCGGTGGTTTATAAGTGAAAATTTGATTTGATTTTCATATCACATGATTAGGATTATGTTGATTTTGGTGATGATTTCATTTAATCAATGATGATAATTGGTGATTGGTGATTGATCTGCCATGATTACAAAAAACAATCTACCACCATATCCATATTGGTTATGTTTTGGGTGATGTGATGTTTTTTTTCTCTGGTTTTTGTTTCGTTTAAAATGTGAAACATATTTTTGAACATTGGGCATTTAGAAAAACAAAAATCCAGAGAGAGAGAGAAACAGAGAGAAAATCACACAGTAAAAGAGAGAAAGACAAAAACTTGAGCTTGGAAATCAAACTCAAAATATTCACTATGAAAAAAAAGAGAACAATGTCCATATAATGAGAGAAGAAGAAGAATTGGATGTTTTGCAAGTAACGTATTTTTGAAATGATTATGCCTGATGGTCAGATCGGAAAAAAACTGGCCATGGATAAACATGCCTGCTACTAGCATGTTATTCTTCTCTCTCTCTCCTCTCATTTCGTTATTGTTCAATGATCTTTTTTTCAGATTCATCCAACGACGACCACCACAAACAACAAACATTGTAAACATCACCTGTACCAAAAACTGAACAGCAACAAGTCTTTTGATCGAGAGGCAGAATAATAACCAAAAAAAAAACATTACTTCGTTTGCTTACAGGTTTCTCCAGCAAATATAAAAAACAAAAGGCTGAAGTTCAAACATTTATTTTTGAAGGTTGAGTAGAAATGAAATTTTATACACGAACTTTGTAGTGGTGGTGGTTGATTTTTTACGGAGAAACAAAAACACATTCAATCAACTACCCCCTCGAAACTACCATAGAAACGAATTTCAATGATGATGATGATGATCAGGGTAAACAACAGCAACGAAAAAGAATCGATAAATGGAGAGAGAGAGAACGAAAAAAAGAAATGAAAACTGCCAAGTAATTCAAGTATCATGAACAAGGTCATTTTTTTACGAAACATTAACGTTTACCACAATACACAGGTAACAACAACAACAACAACAACAACAACACATTACAGGTATAGAGAATACAGGTAAAATGCATTTGCAGAAGAAAAACAAAAATATTCAACCAACCCTATCTATCTATCTATTCAACCAGCCGGTATTCGTTGAAGAAGAAAAAAAAACGAATTCATTTCATTTAAAAATCAATAAAAACCATCGACCATTATGATATAATGGAACAATGACGACAACGAAATTGTCATGATCATTCAGAAGAAGACGAAGAAGAAAATCTTTATTTTTATTAATTTTTCTTCTGTTTGTCGTCATTATTTTTCTTTTTCGGAAATTGAACTTGAATTTCGCTTGTTTCATAATGTTTCATCATAAGTGTATCGAGTAAAAGGCAAATCAATCATTTAAAGTGATGTCCAGTCGGGTTAAATTTAATATTTGAAACAACCAAAATAATAATAAAAAATTTTCAGAAAAGAAATCAAATCAAATCATTTTCAATCGAATCGATCAAAACAAAACAAAACAAAAAACGAATGAAATTGATCATTGGATTTTTTTTTCAATAAAAATTTTACGCTTGAATATCGATTGAATTGAATGATTTTTGATTGATCTTTTCTGTTTTTGGCTTCAGGAGAAAATGAAAAGAGATAAAAACAAGAAAATATCGTTTCGATTATATAACCAGCAATTCGAATGAAAAGATTTCAAAAGAAAATATTAACCGATTTGATTCAATGACGGTTGATCGATTTGATTTTTTTTTTTTGTCCAAAATAGACATAGTTTGGTATAATAATAATAATAATATCTTTCATTTCGAGTAGAAATAGCCTTATCCACCTTTTATTCTTTTAATCACTATTATCATCATCACCTGATGATCATCATCTTATAAGGTGATAGTAGAAAACCGGACATTTATTTCTAGATTTGTTTAAAACAAATTTGCTTTAATTTAATGATATATACAGATAAAAACCTTGAATTTCAATCAATCGATCAATGGCCTTATTATTGTTTAATTGTGAAAAATAAAACAGGAACAAAAAAAATCCAAGTCAAGGATAAGACGTGGATTTTGTTTTTGATTTTGTTTTGTATCATTCACATTCCAAATGACAAACTTTTTCAGATATTTTTCTCCGTCCATTTGTTCTCAAATTAAACATCTTAGTTTTTCTGTTGAGAAGATACATTTTCTCTTCTTTTTTTCTATAGAAACAAACATTGTTACAAAGTTAATAAATCTTTCTTTTCTCATCAAAAGGCCATTTTAATTCAAGTTAAATGAAAAAAAAACAAAACAAAACATATAACTTACCTTTGAATCTAATGTTGTCGATGAACTATTACTTTGGCTATTTCTTTTTAAACCTAATTTTCTAATAACAGTTCTTGTATGATTTTGATTCTGATCAAATGGATCGATTAATGGTTGTGATTCAAAATCATTTTGTTTTGGTTGTTGTTGATTTATTTGATCACCAAATGGATCATTATATGAATTATATGTTTCAGTACGAGCGGTCCATTCACCGGAAGAAATATTATTACTTGTCATATCATTGTTGTTGTGTATGGAACCACGACGTGATGAATTGCTGCTGCTGTTATTATTATTGGTTGTTGTTGTTGTTGAAGTTATGGACACAACCGATGGTTGTTGTTGTTGTTGTTGATTTGAAAAATTTATAAAAGACATTCGGAATGGATCAATTGTTGTTGTTGTTGTTGTTGAAAATTGTTGTTGTAGTTTGATTTGATGATTGTATTATAATCGAATGATTTTTGTTGTTGTTGAAGTTTGTTGAAAATCATTTCCTGGATATGCCAATAACTATTTTGAAGAAACTTTTTTTTTTGGGAAAAAAATGAATAATAAATGAATGGAATGAAAAACTTTTTTCCAAAAAAACACACGAAAAGTATTCAAATTCGTTGATAGTGTGTGTGCGTGTCGAAGAAGGTAAGAATCGATCCTGAAAATTGATGAAATCGATTGATTTGTCAATGGATGGATTGTGTGTATTTTGGGTATCACAAAATGTGCGTCGTCGTCGTCGTTGATGACACAATGATCACAATCGTTGTTTTCGTAATAGCGACGTTATCGCAACTATTTAAACATTATCGTTGTTATGTCGTTGTTGTTGATGACATCAGTTAATTATTAAAAAAAACAAAATTAAACTTTTTTGTTTCACAATATGGATGAATCCTGGATCTGGAAAAACAAACAAAAGAAACAAAAAAGTGTTAATAGAAAAATTTAAATGCAGTAACGTGATTTACACAGACAGACAGAAAAAAAAGTGAAAAACATTTAAAAAAATCCTATCAACACTTTTTTTGATCAACAAACAGAACAAAAAGAGAGTTTCTTTTCTTTATTTCTCTCATCATTTCAAACAAACAAACAAACAAACGTGACAAAAACAAAAGCAAACTTGAAAATGGCAAAAACGAAACATAAAGCAATTTCAATGATGATGATGATGATGATGATTACAATGTTTTGTTTTGTTTTCAACGAAACAAAAGCAAAACAAATGAAAAATCTCAAAACAATCATCGAAGACAGGTGAAAGAAAAATTTATCAAAAACGTATGTGTGTGCGGTGTGTGTGTGTGGAATGAAATTTTTCATTTCATTTCAAAATAATGAATTTTATCCATTAATTAATGATTATGGATGATGATGAAAACAACAAACGAACAACGAACAACGAACATGACAAGCCCAATTAGATTTTTGTTTTTTGATGAAATTGGTTGAGTAAAACGCAAAAAACAATTAAGATAAAGACATCTTTCTGAATGAATGAAAGAAAAAAATTGATAATTTAGCCGGACAATTTTTCATTTTTGTAATTTTTGCTTCTAATTAAATTTTTTTCAACTGTTTTTCTGCTCAGCGAACGCCTCGTTGTCATTTGTTTTTTCTACATTACAAAAAAAATATGTTTACAGATGTTCATGCATATCTCGATTTTCAAAATTGAAACATCATGCACATCAAGCCAAAAGAAATTATCATTATGATTTTTGGCTGATAATGGTTACACAGGATGATTGAAAAGAGAAGGACATCGAGGGCTGAATAATTAATTGATTAATTAATCAAAATAATTGGCAATTAGGATTCAGTTTTGAAGTTTTTTTTAGTTTGAATTTTTTTCGAGTTTCAACCGAATCGATTATCTAATTGGTTTTTTTAAAATAAACTTTTTTTTCCTTTAAAATTCAAGAAATTGACTTCCCTAAACAAGTTTCCTGATTAGCTTTTTTTCCATTTGTTTGTTGATTTTGATTTATTTTCTGTGGCTAAAAAAAGCAAAAGCAAAAGAAATTGCATCATTCAGAAATCTAATCGGTTTCAAACATTTTTTTTCTGCTGTTTTTTTTGCTTGACTTTTTATTTTTTGATTTATATTTGTTGATTTGATCAAAGTTTTCAAAGTTTTCAGCGTTGATAAAACTTGTTGAACATGGACAATTTTGCACCAAACTGTAAACAACAAAAAATCAAAACACCCTGTGTTGCCGATATTGAATGAAATCAAAAGTTTCGTTTCTTGCTAATCTGAATAGGGAGAGAAATCAGGGTGCCATCATCCAAAAAAAATTTCTCACATATCACACACACAACCTGATTTTCTTCAGCCGAATTTTCAATTTCGAAAATCTTATCTAAAGAAACTGACATTTTGACAAATTTCGAAAAATGAAATGGAAAAATCCAGAAGCAGCAGATTATCATTAATTCTTATTCTAATCATGGTCTAATTTTTCTAGCTTTAGTTTAGTTTAGTTTTTTTTTGAAATTCATCATCATCCTCATGATTATTCGACAATTTTAGATGCGGATATAATAATTTTTTTCGTTTGAAAGAAACAAAAATCATATATACCGGAACTGTATTTGCATTCATCCATTTTGTTTTGTTTTGCATGAAAAACAAATGCGAATCATCATTATGAATGAACAAGTCACACACTGAATGTGTGTGTTTTGACATAGAAAAAACCTATGAAGAAGAAGACAAAACGTAATCATTAAAGACAGAAGAGAAAGTTTTTTGTTTTTCGAGAAAGTTTCAAGAAAGAAAGAAACAAATGACATTTCCGCAAACAACAACAAAAAATTTTTAATTTTAGTTTTTTAATTGACAAAATGAATGAATGAATGAATGTTTTGACATTGAATCAATCAATCAATCAATCAATTAAAAACAATTATCAAACAATTGCTGTTTGTAAACTTTGTTCTTATTAACAAAAACTTGCTTGATTGGTAATAATTATTCAATTTTAAATGAATAATTATCATGTGGCTTTTACTTATCAATCAATCAATCAATCGATTGATTGATGAAAATTGAAAAACAATTAAACAGAAACTCCTTCCGAAAAAAAACTAAACAAAAGCGCCCAACATGAATTATGATTATCATCAAGAATGGAGGAAGCAAACAGAGGAAAAAATAACACTGAGGTAACAATATATTCAAAATCTTACTTTTTTTTGAAATTTTTTGGAATGAATTTTTATTTGGTCTTTTTTTTGCAGAGAAAAACAATACAAATCACATAAATTATAAGGCACAGAATTTTTTTAACGGGAAAATTTCCCAGAAATTTACAAAAACCAATGGAAAATTTTTTTTAACGTTGTCCGTTTTTTTTTCATTCAAATTGATGATGATAACTTTGATGATGTTCAATGATGATGATGATAATCTCTTTTGCACCAATAAAAAAAAAGTTAATTGTTTTCCGAAAAATAAACGTAAAAATGTTCAATGTATTTTAGGAAAAAACAACACACAAAATGAGGATTCACATTTTTAGCCAGTTTGTAGCTTTGTCATTGTAGCAATATATTTTTATGTTTTGAAAAGAGAGAGAAAATGCTTCTGCTATGTTGTTTTTCGTCGAGAGAGAGAGAGAGAAAGTAGCCATCAATTGAGTTATGATTGATTGCATTGTTGTGGCATCATCATCATTACGTTGCATCAAACAGAAAAAATATGGGAAAAGAAAATTTTGTACAGTGATTTTGTTGTTTTTGTTTCTGGAAAATTACCATAAAAAACAAAAAACAAACGAAAATAGAAGCGCGTGCAGGTAAATCAATGAGAGAAATATGTGGAAATGAAAAAACTCAGCCAGCTCACCTCACCTCACCTGCATGCAGACGAGGTTTTCATTTTCAAAATTAAATTAAAACAAAAAAAAAACATTTGCGTTCTTTGTTGATTTGACAGACAGACGCATGACAAACGTCATTTGTTTGTTTGTTTTGTTTTTTCAAAGTTTGCGCAGAATCAGAATATTTGTTGACAACAAAAAAATCAAAACAAAAAACATCATGGATCAAGGTATACTGTTCATACAATACGTTTTGATTTGAAATGAAAAAAAATGGTACAGAACTTCTGCCATCTATGAATCGTAAAACGAAAATCATTCTTTCCAGTTTTTGTTTTACCAATCTGGCCGAAAGATGGCAGAAGTCATTACAAAAAAAAACTTTAAAAATTTAAAATTTTGAAAAATTTTGAAAATAAAATTGGCAGAAAAAAAATCAAATCAGTTTGGAATTTGAATTTGTTGAAGATTAACTTCAACGATGATGATGATGATGGAGATTTACATTCATCGAACTTATGCATACTTATTTAAAATTTAACACTTAGTTTCTCTGCTTAAATAGTAATAATAATGATAAAAATGAAAAAATACTTGACAGGTCGTGTGTATGTGAATGTTTCACATCTTGAAACACCGACGTACACACACACACACTTAATTGATCGAAAGCCGATCAAATCAAAATCATGGATCAATCAGAATGGAATATTCATTCGTTTTTGTTCAATAAGTAAAATGAAAATCCGTGTCGATTCGATTTAAATGATTTTTCTCTTCTTTTTTGCAAAATTAAATTTTGAAAATTTTAATAAAAAAATTCTCCAAACATTTCATATTGTTTGACAAATTGTTTAACACATTTTGACATTTTGACTTTGCATTTGTTCAGTTTGTTTGTTTTTCTCCCGAATGTCAATTGGTCCGATTTTCAAGTTGAATTTTTTTTAAAAAATAGACATGGTCAGAAAAAAGAAGAAGAATATTTGTTTTGGCGAATGGGGAAGGAAATTCGTTCCGTTGAATTAAGTTTTTTTGAACAAAAAAAATCGATTAATAATGCTTTTTTGGAAAAAAATCAAATCAAGCAAAACAATCGACAATCGATAATCATAATCGATTTTTTTTTTTTTGCTAAGGGAGTTGTCCATCACACACATGTGTGATTACATTTTTTCAAATTGTTCTTTTCCTGTAATGATGATGATTATGAAGGGAAAAAAACTTTCATTTTTGAAAACGATCAAACAAACGGCACGGCAACTCACGAATTTATTTTTTTTTTTCTGCTAAATTTTCATTTTTCAAATGAAAATGAAATGAATGAAAAATTTAATTTCAAACAAAAATTACCTTTTTTTTGTTGAAAAATTAACTTACCTTTGTATCGAACATATGTTTGTTTGCATCATCTACATCCGTTGTGTAATCGAATCAAACAATGTTTTGTTTTTTTTTGAATTCGACCAATTCGATTACATAACAAAACATAACGGTTTTGTCGAAAATGATCATCATCATTATAATGATGATGACCAGATGTATAAACTT